CGAGTATCGCCACAGGAAGGCCCACAGCCTAGATGGGGAACGGTTGGTGTGGTCAGCCTTCTTGGGTATTGGGGTAGCAGGAGGGGTAGGTACCTTGCGTTGGCTGTCGATTGTATGCCAGAACTTATCAAATCAACCAGAGTGCCATCTTGGTTGCGCCACGCGATTCGCAAAGTTGGTATTCTGGCAATTCCACCTTTTCTTCTGTGAAACCTCATGGGGACCAGGATATCCCCTAATGATCCAAAGCACTCATTCAATTCTCTAAGAAGATGGTCGACTTATTAACAATAAATCCTTCTATGAACAAAACTGTCATACCATGCTCTGTTTTATTACAAAACACTACTTGATATCTTTGCCACTCTACATCTAAAAATAATAATACATAATCTTTGGCACATGATTTTCATAACTCTTACAGCTTCTAAATATCTGCTTCCATAAATGATAGTTTATTGCAGTGGTTCTGGAGTCTATAACCCAGGGGTGCCCAAAAGGTAGATTCCAAGGTATTGTAGAACTACAATTCCCATGTTGCTTTGCATGTCTTTAGAATGCTTTTAAAATGACAAAGTATCATGGAATCTGTAGTTTTAAAACATCTGGAGATCTACCGTTTGGGCACCTCTGCTATAGCCTATCCTAACAGTCCTATGTTCACCTCTAGTGGCTGCCACTGAGAGGCACTAGAAGGTCTTCCTGGATGAGTTCCTGCAATCTTTGCATGAGACGCTGAGCACTCCCCATAGTGATGCATATCGACGAGGAGATGCCGACTGGTGCAGTGCATTTGATGTGCATATGCAATAGCCTTCCAATGCTTCCCAAGGGAAGTGAGGTGGCAATGGAGAGAGCTCCACAACTATGCAGAAATGGTAATTAAAACTAACTTATTTAACTTATTTCACACATGGGTGGTTGGGGGACAATAATCTAACCAGCTAGCAGGTCACTATACAATTAGGAATAACATTAAAAGGAACAGTATAGTGTCAGGAATACAAACTTATTCCTAGCACTTAAGTGTTAAACAAACAAATGTAGGCCTCTGGCCCCCCTCAGATCTGTTTTACCAACTTACCATTTTTGGTCCCGCCTCTACGGCTAAGATCATCAATCTTGATGATTTCAGCCAATCCAATACCTTCCCATAGGAAACATGCTGCTCTGCACCAATCAGCATCTACTCATAGAGATGCATTAAGTCAATGCATTTCTATAGGAGCGTTCAGCGTTTGAATGCAGAGCGTGGAGATGCTGAACATAGGTGTTGCCCATTGTGCAGCACTAGACTAGGAAGCACCTCCAGTAGCCATCTGAGTGACTGCCACCAGAGGTGTTACTAGGCAGCAATGTAAACACTGCCTGCATGGACATCCTACAGATGCCAGAATCACTATGTTAAGCTGTAGTGATTCTAGTGACTATAGTGTCCCTTTAAAAAAAAAAACACGTTTGTTTAACATTGGTCTATCAACATTAACCATACGTCTCCCACATTCCTTTTTGTGTTTTATTATGTCATTAACCCCCATTTACTTTGCTTGTTTTTTTGTGTTTTTCTAAAGATATTTCATAAGTGATGGTTGTCAGAATAATTTCTACACTAGTTCAGAGAGACATAATTGGTGCTGGGCTTGAAGCAACACACGAGATAACTCACCGAGTCTTAAAGGATTTTTTTTTTTGGCAAGATACATTCATAAGGCTATAAAAGATATATCTGGCAAAGATTTGTTTTGATTTGTGGACTATCATTATACAGACGTGTCCAGATAGTCTGGATCTGGTTCTCTTCATATCTATATAACTAGCAAGTGATATGTTTTCGGTTACTTAAATCTCTTTATTAAGAAGCAATATTGTGTATATGGGGATTACCGCTCATTTCAAACTCTCACCCCCCCAAATATAGAAAGTTGTACTGTTTTTCAAACCCCATTACTTAAACAAGTGTGTGACCTTGATCTTCTGATATTTCCATATTAAATGTTTTGTCTTCATCATAGATGACATTGGCTAGATAATGCATACACGAATGTGTATATATATATTAAAGGCACACTATAGTCACCAAAACAAGTACAGCCTATTGCATTTGTTATGTTGAGTATAACCATTACTTTCAGGCTTTTTGCAGTAAACACTATGTTTTCTGAGAAAATGAAGTGTTTACATTACAGCCTAGGGATAACTCCACTGGCTACTCCTCAGATGGCTGCTGTAGCTACTTCCTGGGGCAGTGCTGCACAGTGAGCAGAACTGCCATTCAGTGTCTCCACCCTCTGAATGAAGAGACTGAACTTTCCTCATAGAGATGCATTGATTCAATTAATCTTTATGAGGAGACGATGATTGACCAGGGCTGTGTTTGACTTGTGCTGGCTCTGCCAATCCTATAGGATAGCATTATGATTGGCTCAGACCACCACTTTTGATGATGTCAGCAGACAGCAGCCATTTTCAGAGGCAGACTGGGGCAGAGCCAGCAGCTGCAGACTTGAATTCAGGTAAGATTTTACAAAATTTAGGGAGGCAAGAGGGGACCAGAGGGGCTAGATAGTGATGTTAACAGTATAGGGTCAGGAATACATGTTTGTGATCCCGACTCTATAGTGTTCCTTTAATTATTAATATTTTTTTCTTTCAGTTTTTTGTAGTCATGGTTTTATGAATCTATGGGACCCGTTCCCCAGCTTTTTGTCAAACCATCCCAGCAGGTATATTCTACGTCTCATTGTCCCACATTGATAAAGCAGAAATTTAAACACTGTATTATCAATAGAATAAAAGTATGAGATCACTGAGAGTGGAAATCTGTTAAACAATTTCATATGCTTTGACAAAAAAATTCAGCAAGATGCCCACAGAGTTATAGCAGTAATATAATTAGAATTACCTGTAGTACTTATGGTGCTTTGAGTGTTCCTTTAATTACTTCCTGGCAATAGAGCGAAAATCCCATTATTTAAAAACATAATGGGTATGTCACAGCAAACTATTTAAACACCTACGGGCTATTTACTGAACACCGGATTTTACCTGGATTGTAGACATGTGCAATTTCTTTCAGTCCGAATTTAAATTCGGACAAATTTCGGCAATTTGGACATTCAGATGCTTCTGAATGTCTGAATTTCCAAAGTCTTGAATTGCCGAACCGAATTGCCGAATTTCGGGAAATACCGAAGTGCTTCGGATTTCGGAAAAGTGACAAAACAGGAGAGGGAGGGAAAATTAAGGGAATGATGATAGGAATCTAACCCTAGCCCTAACCTTAACCCTTACCCCAACCTTCCTCTATCCCAAACCGTACCCCTAACCCTTACCCCAACCTTCCTCTAACCCTACCCCTAGTAAGACTAGGGTTATGGAATTCTCAAAGTCCCGAATTCCCAAAGTGCCGAAGTCCAGAATGGCAGAATTCCTGAATCTCGGAGGTGCTGAACAGAACCAAAGTGCCGAAGTCCCATAATTTGGAAGTGCCAAACAGAACCAATTTTTTTGCTCATGCACATCCCAGTGGACTGACAAAATCAGGTTAAATGGACTCAATTCCAATGGCAATGGCAATGGCAATTCTCATATTTACTAAAGCCAAATGTGGTCGGCCAAGCTAATCTGCATTAATCACCAAAATGTTTTCAGTATCCAGATTAAAATTGTTGCTTTTGCATCCAAAATTGAATAAGGACCAAATGAATCCAGCAGGATAAACCTTTGCAAATTATTGTTCACTTGCTTTTATGCAAGGGAGGGCAAGGAAACAATGATTATAAGTACCAGGGCTAGCAGTGAGTGGGAAAATAGTTAAATAATACACGGAAGTGTGAGGGTTAATTTTGTGGAGGCTGGTACATTAAAAAAAAAAGCCTATTCCTACAAGGAAGGTTTAAATTCATGCAAAAGGTGGGGGCATTTCTCTTTTAAACTAGCAAGTAGGCAGACATTGCAATGTTGGGAGGAGAGACAGTCTCCTCGCTCCCTCACACCTGGGCATCGATTGGGGGACATAAAAAAATAAATAAAGGGGGATGGATAGATCACTGTCCACTCCCTTGTGACAGAGCCTACTCTGATCTTATGAGCAACTGCTATATGACTCTGTGCAACATCCCCTAAAAGATGTGGTTCGAACCCTTGCCTCCATGTCCATCAGCTCATTGACCTCCAGACAGCAGAGCACCCATTTACCACCCCTGGGAGCTGTTGACGGGAAAAAGTCAGAACTACACCAGTGGGAGATACGCGCCAACCATCTGAAACTCCCACTCGGCCTAAAGGTCAGAGAGCAACTCGGTACGACTGTCCAAGACCAATGTTGCTTCACCAGGACTCCAAGAAGGGTGCTAATTGGAAGAAAGGCAAATGAGGTGGAGAGTTAATGAAAACCACTAAAATTAAGAGGGAGCCCCCTTCCATGGAGCCTGAGAAACTTCTTGTTTATGACTGGCACCTACTCACCGATAGCCTGGATGCGCTGGATCAAAGTTTAGCCACGTCCTGCTATAACTTATTTAGATGATTATATGAATGCGATTCAAGCATTTTGTGGACAGTTGACTATTGAGAGCAAGCCCTGTCTGTGGAGGTATGATTTATCACCTGTACTTGTGGGGAACACTAGGTTTTATGGCTTATATTGTACTGTACACTTTGATTCGGAGTTAATAAAATCATGCCCCATTGATTAAGTCATCCCCCAGACACAGCAGTGCAGGCAGCGGGTGGATCTAATGACTTCCTTTCAGCTCCCACCCAGTGGTGGTGGTTGGGGGCTGTAAATGTAATATTCATTGGGGGGCAAGTTTGCACCCAGTCCCCCTCCATGGGTGGGAAGATGAGGCCTCTAAATAAGTAAACAATGGTGGGCATGCGGCATGACATTGTCCAATATTTGCACTGTAATACACAGATAATGACATGCCCCCCTGCCTGGGTAGCAAGAGGTAGTATTCAATCCTCTATCTACCCCCAATTAAGGACTCTACCTACCCCCAATAAAACAAATACCTGTTATATAAAAAAAGACCTTATGAGAAAGCATTCCTACTCTATGTAATATCAGTAAGAGGGCCAAGTCTTGAGAAAAGCCTAAACTGTAATGAATCAAGGAGTATTAATAACTATAGAATGGTTGGTTTATCATACTTCCATTTATTGTAAATTGAAACCCAAATGGCAAAATTCTCCAACTAAGCTATAGCTACAATTTGAATATTTTAATTTCAGTTAAGCCAATCTGGTTTTAATTCACTACAGTTTTTTGTAAAGTGAATAAACCTTTTCTATATACATTAAAAGGTTTGAAAGACCCTAGTCTTTAATAGCTCCAGTTTTTTTTTTTTTATTATAACTCTATATGGACTGGGCCAGAGTAACATAGGGGTATTGTGGGAGCAACACCTGGACCATGCTTAGAAATAGGCTTAAAGTACCCGTAATAAAAATATTCTGTTATTTATTTATTTATTAGGAGAAAGCAAGCTGCCACTACAGCACTTCACTTGTATTGTTTTATTAAAGGATCACACTAGCACCAAAAATATAAATATACATTTTTAACCCTAGTGTGCTTCTAGCTTAAATACATGTGTACCTCTTTTTAACTCCTTAAGGACCAAACTTCTGGAATAAAGGGGAATCATGACATGCCACACATGTCATGTGTCCTTAAGGGGTTAAACATACTGGTAACCTGGCATTTACCCCAGAACAGTTGCTCCTTCCTTCCTATAAGGTTTTCTGGATAATACAGGGGTCAGCCCAGTGCTTCTCGTTGAAAAGAACTGGGGTCTTACAAGGGAACAGATTCTTCTCAGAGAAGCACCAAGTCCAGTGACACTGTACATGAAGGCTGACAATTATTGAAAATCTTCACAAGGAAGTGGATGGTTGATTGAAGCCAATAGTGTAAATAATGCAAACTGACTAAAACATAAACATTGCCACTTTTCACAAACACCAATACATTGCATTGCAAGCTCTATGTAACAAAACAAATTCATGAAGATTTAGTGGTGGTTTTGGTCATTGGAATGCCCCTTTAATATGTTCCTAGCACTCGGGCTGTGCATTGAGGCTGCGTTTGGTGAGAGGAGGGAGAGACCAGAGGTTGTGTTACAGTGGGTTACTGTATGTCACACATCATGTAGTCTATAATTGCTTAGACCAGCGGTTTCCAGCGCTGACCCACACATCCAGGGCCACAGGGAACTCGGGCAAGCAGACTGACACCAGGAGGGGGCCCGGCGGCTTGCCCTGTATGCTGCCGGCCTCCCTTCAATCAATCTGCCCAGCACCTCCGGTCTGCAGCTCCGCCGGGTGCAGAGCTGCAGACCGTGTGATAGAAGTCTTGCGAGCACCCAGAGCGTTACCATGGCAACACTCTAGGAGCTCGCGAGACTTATTACACGGTCTGCAGCTCTGCACCTGGCGGAGCTGCAGACCGGAGAGTTACCCCACCGGACCACCAGGGAATTCAATGAAGGTAGGACACAGCCCCCAGACATCTCCCCCCCATGTAACCCCTTCACTCACTGCGCTCCCCAATCTAACCCCTTCACTCTCTGCCCTCCCCATGTCACCCCTTCACTCCCTGCCCTTCCCTCATGTCACCCCTTCACTCCCTGCCCTCCCCCCATGTCACCCCTTCACTCCCTGCCCTCCCCCCATGTCACCCCTTCCACTCCCCTGCCCTCCCTCCATGTCACCCCTTCACCCCCTGCCGTCCCCCTTCTCTCCCCTGCCCCTCCCCACACTGTAACCCTTCACTCCCTGCCCTCTCCCAATGTAACCCCTTCACTACCTGCCCTCCCCCCATGTAAGCCCTTCACTCCCTGCCCTCCCCACACTGTAACCCCTTCACTCCCTGCTCTCCCCATTTAACCCCTTCACTCCCTGCCCTCCCCACACTGTAACCCCTTCACTCCCTGTCCTCCCCCACGTAACTCCTTCACTCCCTGCCCTCCCCACACTGTAACCCCTTCCAGGGACGGACTGACAGTGGCCTGGGCCCCCGGGCAAAATTAGCACCTGGGCCCCCAGCAGACCAATATATATGCTGGTATAGGTGTACCGTATATTTGATTGTATGTACATGTAAAGTGAATGCATGTTTCTGTGTGTATATTCACTGTGAGCGCTAGTGTAAGTGAATATATGTATGTCTTTGTGTGTAGTGTCAGGATATCTGGATTATTAGTATATTTGAATACTTGTTTTTGGTTTTGTGAATAGGGTAGTATTTTTTTGTGTGTGTTTGTGTAGCATGGCAGTATGTATAAGGGGGTATTTGTGAAACCAAGTGTTAAATGTTACGAGCCACCTTAAAGGGACTCTCCAGTACCAGGAAAACAATCCGTTTTCCTGGCACTGCAGGTCCCCTCTCCCTCCCACCTTCCATCCCCGGTTGCTGAAGGGGTGAAAACCCCTTCAGTGACTTACCAGAGGCAGCGACATGTCCCACGTCGATGCTTCTTCCTCCGCTCATGCTCCTCCCCTTCATCACGTCAGCCGTTGGGGGTGACCTAATGCGCATGCGCGGCAATTAGACCTCTGCATAGGAAAGCATTGAAAATGCTTTTTAATGCTTTCCTATGGGAATTTTAGCGACGCTGGAGGTCCTCACACAGCGTGAGGACGTCCAGCGACGCTATAGCACAGTGCTATAGACCAGAAAGTGCCCTCTAGTGGCTGTCTAGTAGACAGCCACTAGAGAATGAGTTAACCCTGCAAGGTAATTATTGCAGTTTATAAAAACGGCAATAACTACACTTGCAGGGTTAAGGGTAGTGGGAGTTGGCACCCAGACCACTCCAATGGGCAGAGGTGGTCTGGGTGCCTGGAGTGTCCCTTTAAAGGAACACTATAGTGTCAGGAATACAAATGTGTATTCCCCCCTTAAAAATGCGATTTACTCACCTGTTTCCCAGCACCGACCAAACTCCTTGGCAGAGTTCATCAATTTAGATGATCTCAGCCAACCCAATGCTCTACCATAGGAAAGCACTACAAGGCTATTGTGCACTCGCAGCAAAACGCTGTGCTGTGCCAATCACCATCATAGAGATGCATTGAATCAGTGCTTCTCTATGACAAGCGTTCAGCGTCAACATGCAGAGCATGGAGATGTTGAATGTCAGTCCTGCACATTTTGCAACACTGACACAGGAAGCATCTAGGTGTTCCTAGGAAGCAATGTAAACACTGCATTTTCTCTGATTGCCATAGTGTGCCAATTGTATGCCTGTAAAGCTGAAAAGCGGATTCCACGGTGTGCCAATTGTATGCATCTAAAGCGGATTGCTATAGTGTGCCAATTGTATGCCTCTAAAGCGGTTTGCCATGGTGTGCCAGTTTTATGCCTCTAAAAGTAATTGTCATGGTGTGCCAATTGTGTGCATCTAAAGGGGATTGCTATGGTGTGGGGTGCCAATTGTATGCCTCTAAAGCTGATTGCCATGGTGTTCACTTTTTAAAATATGTATTTAAAAGCAAGTGGGTCTCGAAAAATTACCGTTTTGAAAAGTGGGTCTCGGCCCATAAAAGTTTGGCAAGCCCTGGCTTAGAAAATGGAAAATTAAATTCAGCTACTCTCATTATTCCCATCAGGTTTTCAGCCCCCGACCTGTAAAGCCCAGGATTCAGTTATGGACTGCAGTGGAGATATATCTAACTTATACTAACTTCACAGTGATGATTATTCAAAGTTAAATTAAATAGTGTTAAAGTTAGAAACGGAAACCACTACTTAATATACCCAGGGAAGCTTACTCGGCAATATTCTGCAGAAATCTGCACTTATTATTTCTTTATTACAAGTTAGAGGAAGAAACCTCGATTTGCAGAGCAGAATCAGCATTGCTTCATACAGTGAGTGACTGCTGCCTCTCTGTCTGATCTCTCTGATACAGCACAGAGTATGTGGGCCCTGCTTGGTATAGTGCTGAGTATTTATTTGCATGATACAATGCTGTATCTCTGCCTGATACAGTGCTGAGTATATGTGCCCTGCTTGGTATAGTGCTGAGTATTTATTTGCATGATACAATGCTGTATCTCTGCCTGATACAGTGCTGAGTATATGTGCCCTGCTTGGTGTAGTGCTGAGTATTTATGCCCTGCTTGATACAGTGCCGAGTATCTCTCTGATACAGTGCTGAGTGTATGTTCCCTGCTTGGTACAGTGCCGAGTATCTCTCTAATACAGTGCTGAGTGTATGTTCCCTGCTTGGTACAGTGCCGAGTATCTCTCTGATACAGTGCTGAGTGCGTGTGCCTTGCTTGGTACAGTGCCGAGTATCTCTCTGATACAGTGCTGAGTGTATGTACCCTGCCTGGTACAGTGCCGAGTATCTCTCTGATACAGTGCTGAGTATTTATGCCCTGTTTGGTACAGTGTTGAGTATCTCTCTTATACAGTCAATGCGGAGTACATGTTCCCAGCTTGGCACAGTGCTAAATATCTCTCTGATACAGTGTTGAGTGTATGTGCCTTGCTTGGTACAGTGCCGAGTATCTCTCTAATCCAGTGCTGAGTGTATGTTCCCTGCTTGATACAGTGCTGAGTATCACTCTGATACAGTCACACAGTATGTAACACACTATGAGTATCTCTGTGTATGCTAACAGTGCCCAGTCTGACACAGTATGAGTATCTCTCTGTATGCCATCAATGCCCAGTCTGACACAGTATGAGTATCTCTCTGTATGCCATCAGTGCCCAGTCTGACACAGTATGAGTATCTCTCTGTATGCCACCAGTGCCCAGTCTGACACAGTATGAGTATCTCTCTGTATGCCATCAGTGCCCAGTCTGACACAGTATGAGTATCTCTCTGTATGCCATCAGTGCCCAGTCTGACACAGCACGAGTATCTCTCTGTATGCCATCAGTGTCCAGTCTGACACAGTATGAGTATCTCTCTGTATGCCATCAGTGCCCAGTCTGACACAGTATGAGTATCTCTCTGTATGCCATCAGTGCCCCGTCTGACACAGTATGAGTATCTCTCTGTATGCCATCAGTGCCCAGTCTGACACAGTATGAGTATCTCTCTGATACACTCACACAGTATGTAACACACTATGAGTATCTCTCGGTATGCCATCAGTGCTCAGTCTGACACAGTATGAGTATCTCTCTGTATGCCATCAGTGCCCAGTCTGACACAGTATGAGTATCTCTCTGTATGCCATCAGTGCCCAGTCTGACACAGTATGAGTATCTCTCTGTATGCCATCAGTGCCCAGTCTGACACAGTATGAGTATCTCTCTGTATGCCATCAGTGTCCAGTCTGACACAGTATGAGTATCTCTCTGTATGCCATCAGTGCCCCGTCTGACACAGTATGAGTATCTCTCTGTATGCCATCAGTGCCCAGTCTGACACAGTATGAGTATCTCTCTGATACACTCACACAGTATGTAACACACTATGAGTATCTCTCGGTATGCCATCAGTGCTCAATCTGACACAGTATGAGTATCTCTCTGTATGCCATCAGTGCCCAGTCTGACACAGTAGTGCCCAGTCTGACACAGTATGAGTATCTCTCTAATACACTCACACAGTATGTAACACACTATGAGTATCTCTCGGTATGCCATCAGTGCTCAGTCTGACACAGTATGAGTATCTCTCTGTATGCCATCAGTGCCCAGTCTGACACAGTATGAGTATCTCTCTGTATGCCATCAGTGCCCAGTCTGACACAGTATGAGTATCTCTCTGTATGCCATCAGTGCCCAGTCTGACACAGTATGAGTATCTCTCTGTATGCCATCAGTGCCCAGTCTGACACAGTATGAGTATCTCTCTGTATGCCATCAGTGCCCAGTCTGACACAGTATGAGTATCTCTCTGTATGCCATCAGTGCCCAGTCTGACACAGTATGAGTATCTCTCTGTATGCCATCAGTGCCCAGTCTCACACAGTATGAGTATCTCTCTGTATGCCATCAGTGCCCAGTCTGACACAGTAGTGAGTATGAGTCTCTGTATCTCTCTGTATGCCATCAGTGCCCAGTCTCACACAGTATGAGTATCTCTCTGTATGCCATCAGTGCCCAGTCTGACACAGTATGAGTATCTCTCTGTATGCCATCAGTGCCCAGTCTCACACAGTCTGAGTATCTCTCTGTATGCCATCAGTGCCCAGTCTCACACAGTATGAGTATCTCTCTGTATGCCATCAGTGCCCAGTCTGAGTATCTCTCTGATACACACACAGTATGTAACACACTATGAGTATCTCTCGGTATGCCATCAGTGCTCAGTCTGACACAGTATGAGTATCTCTCTGTATGCCATCAGTGCCCAGTCTGACACAGTATGAGTATCTCTCTGTATGCCATCAGTGCCCAGTCTGACACAGTATGAGTATCTCTCTGTATGCCATCAGTGCCCAGTCTGACACAGTATGAGTATCTCTCTGTATGCCATCAGTGCCCAGTCTGACACAGCATGAGTATCTCTCTGTATGCCATCAGTGTCCAGTCTGACACAGCATGAGTATCTCTCTGTATGCCATCAGTGCCAGTCTGACACAGTATGAGTATCTCTGTATGCCATCAGTGCCCAGTCTGACACAGTATGAGCATCTCTCTGTATGCCATCAGTGCCCAGTCTGACACAGTATGAGCATCTCTCTGTATGCCATCAGTGCCCAGTCTGACACAGTATGAGCATCTCTCTGTATGCCATCAGTGCCCAGTCTGACACAGTATGAGCATCTCTCTGTATGCCATCAGTGCCCAGTCTCACACAGTATGAGTATCTCTCTGTATGCCATCAGTGCCCAGTCTGACACAGTATGAGTATCTCTCTGTATGCCATCAGTGCCCAGTCTGACACAGTATGAGTATCTCTCTGTATGCCATCAGTGCCCAGTCTGACACAGTATGAGTATCTCTCTGTATGCCATCAGTGCCCAGTCTGACACAGTATGAGTATCTCTGTATGCCATCAGTGCCCAGTCTGACACAGTATGGGTATCTCTCTGTATGCCATCGCCCAGTCTGACACAGTATGAGTATCATCTCTCTGATATCACTCACCATCAGCCCAGTCTGACACAGTATGACATCTCTCTATGATGCCATCTGGTATCTCGTATGCCATCAGTGCTCAGTCTGACACAGTATGAGTATCTCTCTGTATGCCATCAGTGCCCAGTCTGACACAGTATGAGTATCTCTCTGTATGCCATCAGTGCCCAGTCTGACACAGTATGAGTATCTCTCTGTATGCCATCAGTGCCCAGTCTGACACAGTATGAGTATCTCTCTGTATGCCATCAGTGCCCAGTCTGACACAGTATGAGTATCTCTCTGTATGCCATCAGTGCCCAGTCTCACACAGTATGAGTATCTCTCTGTATGCCATCAGTGCCCAGTCTCACACAGTATGAGTATCTCTCTGTATGCCATCAGTGCCCAGTCTCACACAGTATGAGTATCTCTCTGTATGCCATCAGTGCTCAGTCTGACACAGTATGAGTATCTCTCTGTATGCCATCATTGCCCAGTCTGACACAGTATGAGTATCTCTCTGTATGCCATCAGTGCCCAGTCTCACACAGTATGAGTATCTCTCTGTATGCCATCAGTGCCCAGTCTGACACAGTATGAGTATCTCTCTGTATGCCATCAGTGCCCAGTCTCACACAGTATGAGTATCTCTCTGTATGCCATCAGTGCCCAGTCTGACACAGTATGAGTATCTCTCTGTATGCCATCAGTGCCCAGTCTCACACAGTATGAGTATCTCTCTGTATGCCATCAGTGCCCAGTCTGACACAGTATGAGTATCTCTCTGTATGCCATCAGTGCCCAGTCTGACACAGTATGAGTATCTCTCTGTATGCCATCAGTGCCCAGTCTCACACAGTATGAGTATCTCTCTGTATGCCATCAGTGCCCAGTCTCACACAGTCTGAGTATCTCTCTGTATGCCATCAGTGCCCAGTCTCACACAGTATGAGTATCTCTCTGTATGCCATCAGTGCCCAGTCTCACACAGTATGAGTATCTCTCTGTATGCCATCAGTGCCCAGTCTGACACAGTATGAGTATCTCTCTGTATGCCATCAGTGCCCAGTCTGACACAGTATGAGTATCTGCCCAGTCTGACACAGTATGAGTATCTCATATGCCAGTGCCCAGTCTCACACAGTATGAGTATCTCCGCCTGACACAATGTAACAAGTCAGCCTGCGAACGTTCTGTCACCTTACGGCGGGGAGTTTGCTGCTGCTCACCTTGACTGCGGGCTGCTAGCAGGGGCGTTACATTCCGGCGTGCATTCTATTGGCCGGAGAGCCTTGCGGCCGGGAAGCTGATTGGCTGACAGTTTTCTTTTGTTCACTATCAGCGTGCAGCCGCAGGACAGCGGAAGTTTGAGTGTGAAGATCCAGCTGGTCTCCCGGCTGCTCTCCCTGTCACTCACAGCCAGCACTCCCTCAGAGCCAGAGCCTCACCACACTCAGCCAGCAGGAGACATGGACTTAGAAAACAAAGTAAAGAAGGTGAGTGTTCTAATCCCACTTACTGCAAGGAGAGGGCACACCCTGTCCTGGGGCTGTGTGTATGATCTATCCATATTCCTTTACACAGCAGTACTGAGCATTCATTATCTCTGCTGGGATCTGATATCAGGCTCACTTTCTCACTATAGATCTTAAAGGCAGCAATTTAAGTGCTGGGATATAATGTATCTCTGCAAGGAGTTTTCATTGATTTATTTAAAAACTGGGATTTCTCCAGAATTGAGAGTAATCCATAAGCTGATTCTTCTAGAGTGCAAGCTCTTGTTCTAGCTGATCCCCTTTGCATCTGTCTGTCTACCTACCTTTAACATGTGCTAATGTCTTATATCTGTGTGTTTTATATTTTTGCCAACTTTCAATAAGTTGCTACCCCACTAAATTCTTATTATAGTACAACTTTCATTATGGGGTTTCATGGCTATGACCAGCAGATATTTTATAGGAGTTGTAGTACAAAGCCATCAAGGGTGCAGTTTGACTCCCCACTCCAACACTATCAGTCTGAGCAGGGCCAGGGCTGTCTCCAGTTTAGTTGATATCATTGTGTCTTTGTATTTTACGTGCCCCGGATATTTTTACCCATGCTGGAGCACTGCAGAATATGTTTGTGACTAATAAATAACTCCAAAGTACAATCAAGATTACACAGGGTTAAGTTTTCAGACATGTCCTCATCAGTGATAGAGCTGTAGATGGAGTGAGTCATATTCAGTTTTATTACACTGTAACCATGTAGCTTCCTGCCTAGTGCATTTGAAATTTGATAACAAAACAGCACTGTTTGCTAACTCAGAATGAGGTCTGTTGAACTCTGAAACATTGCTTCTTATCCTTAACACCATACCACAAATGACTGATTTTGTTGTCATGAACCCAAATACCAACATTTACTGTACAATGCTACTAATTTATGGTTCATCTGGTACTTGGGCACCTGTGGCCATTTCAGCATTACTGGTGGCATCATAATTTGAACAAACATGTTTCTTGAATATTATGAGGCATATATACTTGTAAAGTTGTAGGGACTATAGGCCTTTATTCTATAGGATAGTTTAAGCACCACAACTACTACATCTTAACGCAGTGTTTTTGCTGCTTAAACATTGTTATCCGTTTTTCTTTGTTAACGTGAAACATTGCCATTTCTAAGAGACAGTAATATTTTACATTGATTGAAAGCACACCTCTGGTTAGTGGTAGACATCCAGCCACAAGAGGTGCTTCCTGCTCCAGATAATTAAATTTTTGAAGGATTTCACATTTGGCGTCATTTCACACCGCGTGACGAAAATTGTCTGATGCATCTCCTGCATTTGTGGATCAGGTCAATTATTGTGCATGTGCTGCAGGGAGAAGAAAATCTCTGCGCTGGGTTACAGGAAGGCTTAACTAAATTATACAACTTGTACGATATTATTTATATAGCGCTAACAAATTCTGCAGCGCTATACACTATATAATTGATCGTAAAGTTATATGAAATATAGTAGCTCCAAAAACAAATAATTATATTTACCTTTCCAGTTCTACCATTCTCAAAGGTCTGTAGTGGTTACAGTATTGTAAAACTCACCTTTTTGGACCCACCTTCATCTCACTTCTCTGCCTGGTATCATAACTCCAACAGGCTGGCTTCACTACCTGCACAATAACATCATAATAAGGTGACTCTGTCATTCCATTCACCTGAAGCCAACTTTCTGGAGGAATTGCACTGATAGAGAGTAGGAGAACCACATGTGGGAGAATTCTCTTATTTTGCCATTCTACTCAATCCTCAGCATGGGTGTAAATACTGTGAATTTCTTTACAGGTAGAAGAGCAATCATATTTTACAATTTTGACATTCCCTCATACTTTAGAATTGTTCAGTAAATGTAGGTCAATGTCCCTCTAAGCAGTGCATATCATGGTGTTGCCAGTGTGTCAAAGAGTTACACTGGCCATCTGTAATATACACTGGCTGTGTTTTGGAAAAATTAAGGGACACTTATCAAAGCAATCTGAAAAGTGGTGCAAAGTTCTAAAAGTGAGTCAATCGCCATGGAAACCACAGATACATTGCTTTAGTGATTACGCTATACAAATCTGCACCACTTTTCATGTAATTCTGGCAAACTGATGAAAAATATTCTCTTATGTTGTTTCTGTGAAACCTTTGTATATGTATCTTGACAAGTCTCTTATCTTGAATGCCTTCTTCCAGCAATCAGTGCTGTGCTGAAAAATCTGGTTAGATCAAATGTCCCAAAAACATTGCTAAAGGGTACCTCTAATGGTAATGCAACTTTCTTACCCGATGAACATTGGCCATGCTTTATTGTACAGATACAGCTGATGTGTTACGGGAGCCCAGTAGGTTTGACATCTTACTGTGGGTTGGCACCATGAGACTAAGAACCATCAGCACTATAGCAATCTGTAGTGGTTATGGTGCCAGTAAAGCATAGAGTAGTAGTCAAGGTGACTGACAAATACATTTATTTTTATTGTTGCTCTGTATAAATATCTCCCTTGCAAGCCAATGTTACAAATCTTTTTTGCAATTGAATTTCAAAATGGCTATTGTGAATCATATAACTTGTTAAAATAATGCGATGACTGTGTGTCATCATAGACCTGACTACTTTGTCCCTGCCAATAGAAAGCTGCTATCTGCTTACTGGCACTGAGCCTAACCAGAAGAGTACGCGTCTTGATCGCATTTCTTTCTCATGCACAAACTGCAGATGACATAAACCAGGACTGTGACCTACAATCCCACCATTAATTCCAGTATTCTCTAATGACATATGAGCGCAAATAAGCTCACAAGGTCTAAACACTGCCTTGTTTATTATCCATTTTTCCATAAGAGCTTATCAGCACTTAAAATGACTAATAATATCTCAGAGAACTTCATATTTTATCAAAAAAATCTGAACTTCAACAAAATATTTATTTCAATAGATGCCCTGTGGATTAGATTAGTTACTCTTGATTTTATACAAGTGTGAGTCCAAAAAGGCCATGTTTTTGAACCATTTGATTCATGTTTAATATGCCATTGTAAATATTGACACTCTTATTTTTTTTTACTATTTTGAAGGCCATAATATATTACATATAACATCGTATTTTTATAAGGCTTCCATAATTTAGATTGATTGTAAGTTTGTAAAACTAAGACGTAGGGAATTACAAATTTTAAGCTTAAATATTTAAAATATTTACGGTTTGACTGTTTGGGCTTCAAATGAGCAAATCCTTGTCAATTCTTCATAATTTTATTTAAAGTGAGTAAAACACAATTTTTACTAAACAAGGCAAAAAGGTTTTGGGGTGCAGCTTTATTAAATGCAAGTGGGTGTGTTTTATAAAGGTTAAGGGGGTAATATTAATACTTTTTGAGCTAAGCTTTTCTTGTATTCTGTGGCATTTTATTATCAGAGAACATATTACAACAGCACATTTTTGTTTGCCTGTTGTGTCCATAAATGGAAATCCAAATTGTAATTTGCATTGCAATTTGACTATTTCACTGTTAATATTTGGGATCTATTCAATAATAATGGAATCATCCAATAAACCCATTAGCTCTGAAAGTTTATTCCAAAAAGACGCACGTAAGTAGCACAGGCTCATTGTTCCAGGCACAACTCCAGGTTTATATATCAAGTTTCACAAGGCCTTTTAAAAAGAGTCGATTAAGACTAGGGCTTTATTAATGGTCTGTGTCCGTGAGAGACGTAGAGTAGTTCAAACCGTGGACAGTAGGATTTCTGGCCAGTGTAGTAATCTATGACAATGGGTAACAAAGAGGCCATTCAGGATGATTTGCAGTTAGTCTGAATGAAGGATCACTAAAACCTGACACATCTCCAAATCAGAAATTCCCTGTGTGCACAAAGATGGCTACTTTCCAAACATGTCTGTGTTTCAAAGGTGGCTAGCTTAAACTTAACAAAACCTTCAATAATAGAATGTGAGTTTTAATGAGTTTCTTTGCAACTATGGGGATAACAAACCACCCAACAGAATGTAGTATACTCTGCTGATCTAGGAAACAACTGGAATAAAAACTCCAATTTGAGTATTTAGGAACTGCAAGTATTTTGTAAATTATTTTTTCTAGAATTTGATTTATATATAATTTAGGTCCGTTTTAGTGATCTTTGCATATTTTGCAAAGAGGGGGTTAATCTCGGTTTAGGGCCCGATGGTTGTGGGGTGAAGATGTTTGTAGGTTTACTTTCCTGAAGCTATACCTCAATGCCGCAGCCATCTTCATCCTGAGGACCCTCTTCAAATCCTGATGCTTTATCTGCCACAAAAGCATGCAAAGCATCAAGGGAATTGTAGTTCTACAACATCTGGGGATCTACTTTTTGTGCACCCCTGCCCTTTAGCTTCCTGAAAAGCTTTGTGTGTTGAGTGTAATATTTTTTACATTTTTCAAAAAGTATCGATTTCAATACAAATTGGCACTATCGTAACCATGGTGGTTCCCCTATTAACCACTGTAAAGTCTTCAAGTATAGAATTTAGCAGGGCTTACCGTACAGTCATCTGTAGTGATATTAAATAGTTAGTAAGAGTTATTCTACTTAAAATGTATAAATAATTTAGAATACAATAAAAAATAGGGATAGTCTTGGAAGCAATAACATTTTGTCTGTGAAAATATTTTATTAAAATGTAAATATAGACCTAAAAACATAATAATCCATTATAATAATTTACAGCAGAGTTTATAAGATTAAAGTATATGCTTGCAATATCCATAAAATAGAATAACATACCCTCTTGAACAAGCCAATCTCTGTCTTGATAAAATGGAGCAGCTAATATTAAAGGACCACTCTAGGCATCCAGACCACTTCAGCTTAACGAACTGGTCTGGGTGCCAGGTACAGCTAGGGTTAACCCATTTTTTCATAAACATAGCAGTTTCAGAGAAACTGCTATGTTTATGAATGGGTTAAGCCTTCCCCTATTTCCTCTAGTGGCTGTCTCATTGACAGCCGCTAGAGGCGCTTGCGTGCTCCTCACTGTGATTTTCACAGTGAGAGCACGCCAGCGTCCATAGGAAAGCATTGAGAATGCTTTCCTATGCGACCGGCTGAATCCGCGCGCAGCCAGCCGACTGGGAGGAGAGGAGGAGGATCGGAGGAGGAGAGCTCTCCGCCCAGCGCTGGAAAAAGGTAAGTTTTTACCCCTTTCCCCCTTCCAGAGCCGGGCGGGAGGGGGACCCTGAGGGTGGGGGCACCCTCAGGGCACTAAAGTGCCAGGAAAACGACTATGTTTTCCTGGCACTATAGTGGTCCTTTTAAGTACACATATTTTATACTCTAGATTTTCAATTAGGTCATGTTGGGGAAAATAGAAAAACAAACCTAATCTATTTTAGCTTGATTATTCTATGGCATTGCCTTGACTTGGTCATTTCACATGGGAACATCTTAATCAGTCTATTGTCATGACTTAGACATCTTATCTATGTTTGGACTAAAACTTAAGGTTGGACATGACATAGGTAAGGTCCTGAAATGTGTCACACTAAGCTAGGATAAGATGGCATCTTAAAGAGACATTATAGGCACCCAGACTACTTGGCTTAATGAAGTGGTCTGGGTGTAGTGTCCCAGGCCCCTTAACCCTGGAATTGTAATTATTGCAGTTTCTGATAAAATAATTCCATCTCTAGTGGCTGTTAGGCTGGATGTCCTCACGTTATGCATGACTACATCCAGCGTCACCCAAAACCACACGAGCATAATATAATGCTTTCCTATGGAGGAAGTCCTAATGTGAGTGCCACGCATGCACATTATGTCCCCACTGCTGGCTAGGCGGCTCAGAAATCAGTCGGAGGAAGAATGGAGGCGGAGCCTGAACCTGCGCCGAACGTAATCGGCAGTGGAATCAGGAGGGGCTGCGAGGGAGTGGGTTATTATCGGAAGCTGTAGTGCTAGAAAAATAAATTTGATTTCCTAGCATTATTGTTCCCTTTAAAGTCTAAACATCATATTTACTGACTCTGGGTAAGTCAGTATGTTCCATTTCTAGCAACTTAGCAGTTTGCAAAAGCTCTTAAAAACAAAGTACACAGCTTAAGAAATACATTTCATTCTAAAAACGTGTAATATTTGCATATGCCCATAATTTTTTTTTAAAATAAATTAACATTGTTACATACCTCTTCCTGTCAATCAGACAGCAGGGAATGTTTCATCCTGGTTTGGTTAGCTCAGTGGAGCTAAACTCAAGAAGCATCAATTGCCCAGAGCACCTACCGGTTTAGCCAAGTTCTACTTTTATAGGGTTTTTTTTCCCCCTTTTCTGTTAGCTTGGTGATGACAATCCATTCCTTAACATTGGTTCTGATATGAGTGATGGACATTTGTAGCAGACGCACCTCATTTACATTTTTAATGACTGTGGCTGCCAAGGAAAGTGGTTCACGGAATTCACTGATGGTGCAATTAATGAATCATGCGTTTTTCTTTTACAACGTTTTCCTATTTAGGAAAGCAGCATATCCACAGACAGCATATCCACAGTTACATTCTAATATGCTTATGCATGCTAATACAAAAAGGGGAAAACAATGTTTCTGGTGGGCATTTATTTATATAATAAAGTATCTTTAAATGTTTTTTCTTTTCTTTTTTTTTTTTTCACCCCCTGCCCCAAAATAACTTGCTCTGACCCCTTAAATTGTATGTTTTCTCCAGTCACACACAATATGAGGTAGCGAAATATTGTGGTTTATTTACCTAGGGAGCTTCCTGTTTCACTAGAAAATGACTATGAATCACGGCATGTTTAAACAAAGGGAAAGGCTACATTCTAACAGATGGAGGAACTTTGCAATATGCATGTCTTTTGAGTCTCATATTCATATTCTGTTTTTGTTTTTTGTTTTTCTCCATATTTAAGTATTTTAACTTAAAAAAAAAAAAAAAAAAAAATTTGTTGGTTTTGCTAAAAAAAAAAGTTTTTTTTTTTTTTTCCAGCTTTCTGCAGGATATCTCCACCACTTAGTAAAACCTCCCCTGCTTACAATGTGGTTTCCTTATTGAAATACCCGGAGTACATGCTCAGTTTAGCCATTCAATGTTTGGTGTGCGCTGAGCTTTGGACATGACTACCCCATAGCCAATCTCTGTACTCTTATTATCTGTCTTATTTCACCTTGGCACAGCTTGATATACTATGATGATCCTAAGAGGGCAGTCAATGTCAATTCCCTATGGGGGAATCCTAATGCGAGCGCGACCATTAGGTCTCCCTTGCTGCAGACGTCGGAGAGGGAGAAGCATGGGCGGAGCTGAGACAGTGTCGAAGAACATCGGCACTAGACCCGGCTAAGTGACAGAAGGGGTTATTAATCCCTTCTGCACCACAGGGGGGCCTTGACAGAGGGGAAGCTATAGTGCCAGGAAGACGAGTTTGTTTTCCTGGCACTATAGTTTCCCTTTAATGAAGGGTTTTATAGTTTAGTAGTTCAGAGGAAACCCATTATTCCCAGGGTTGTCAGCGATAGTTATCTGTAGTGTTATCGTTGTCTGTTGAGACCAATACTTGTTTATCTCTTTGGTCCATGCTCCTAAAACCACTTACCTGCTAGTATTATGAAGCATACTAGGTTTTTCTCTGTATCCCACTACCCACAATCCACTTCATCAGGGCCAGACTGGCCCACCGGGATACGGGGAAATTTCCCGGAGGGCCGCGGCACCTGCTCAAGCTCCTGTGATCCCGGCCAGCCATGTGTGAGCTGTGCCGGCCGGGATCATAAAAAAATAAAATAAAAACATTTGTGGCGGAGCTAGCGTACGGCAGGGGCGGGGCTTAGCGTGGGGCGGGGGGCCTGGTTAATGCAGCATGGGAAGCAGGAAGGAGTCCCTGCTTCCCCAAGATATCTGTGTGACACTGTGTGTGTGTGACTGTCTGCCTGTATATATGTGTGTGTGTGTGATACTGTGTGCCTCTGTGTGTATGTATATATGACTGTCTGTGTGTTTGACACTGTCTGCCTCTGTGTGTATGTATGTATGACTGTCTGCCTGTGTGTGTGTGTGTGTGTGACACTGTCTGTCTCTGTGTGTATGTATGACTGCCTGTGTGTGTGTGAGACACGGTGTGCCTCTGTGTGTATGTATGTGTGTGTGTGTGTGTGTGTGTGTGACACTGTCTGCCTCTGTGTGTGTGACACTGTCTGCCTCTGTGTGTGTGTGTGTGTGTGTGACTGTCTGCCTCTAAAAATCTATTGCAGCCCCATAAGTCATTGTGCTATGTAGTGTGTGTTATATAACACACACACTACATAGCATACACACACACACACACACACACACACACAGTTGCAAGAAAAAGTATGGATTTCTGCACAAATTAGTCATAAAATGTGATCTGATCATCATCAAGTCACAACAATAGACAATCACAGTCTGCTTAAACTAATAACACACAAAGAATGAAATGTTGCCATGTTTTTATTGAACACTCCATGTAAACTTTCACAGTGCAGGTGGAAAAAGTATGTGAACCCCTAGACTAATGACATCTCCCAAGTGCTAATTGGAGTGAGATGTCAGCCAACTGGAGTCCAATCAATGAGATGAGATTGGAGGTGTTGGTTACAGCTGCCCTGCCCTATAAAAACACACACACCAGTTCTGGGTTTGCTTTTCACAAGAAGCATTGCCTGATGTGAATGATGCCTCGCACAAAAGAGCTCTCAGAAGACCTGTGATTAAGAATTGTTGACTTGCATAAAGCTTGAAAGGGTTAAAAAAGTATCTCCAAAAGCCTTGCTGTTCATCAGTCCACGGTAAGACAAATGGTCTATAAATGGACAAAGTTCAGCACTGCTGCTACTCTCCCTAGGAGTGGCCGTCCTGTAAAGATGACTGCAAGAGCACAGCACAGACTGCTCAATGAGGTGAAGAAGAATCCTAGAGTGTCAGCTAAAGACTTACAAAAGTCACTGGCAAATGCTAACATCCCTGTTAGCGAATCTACAATACAGGGAGTGCAGAATTATTAGGCAAATTAGTATTTTGACCACATCATCCTCTTTATGCATGTTGTCTTACTCCAAGCTGTATAGGCTCGAAAGCCTACTACCAATTAAGCATAATAGGTGATGTGCATCTCTGTAATGAGAAGGGGTGTGGTCTAATGACATCAACACCCTATATCAGGTGTGCATAATTATTGGGCAACTTCCTTTCCTTTGGCAAAATGGGTCAAAAGAAGGACTTGACAGGCTCAGAAAAGTCAAAAATAGTGAGATATCTTGCAGAGGGATGCAGCACTCTTAAAATTGCAAAGCTTCTAAAGCGTGATCATCGAACAATCAAGCGTTTCATTCAAAATAGTCAACAGGGTCGCAAGAAGTGTGTGGAAAAACCAAGGCGCAAAATAACTGCCCATGAACTGAGAAAAGTCAAGCGTGCAGCTGCCGCGATGCCACTTGCCACCAGTTTGGCCATATTTCAGAGCTGCAACATCACTGGAGTGCCCAAAAGCACAAGGTGTGCAATACTCAGAGACATGGCCAAGGTAAGAAAGGCTGAAAGACGACCACCACTGAACAAGACACACAAGCTGAAACGTCAAGACTGGGCCAAGAAATATCTCAGGACTTATTTTTCTAAGGTTTATGGACTGATGAAATGAGAGTGAGTCTTGATGGGCCAAATGGATGGGCCCGTGGCTGGATTGGTAAAGGGCAGAGAGCTCCAGTCCGACTCAGACGCCAGCAAGGTGGAGGTTTGGGCTGGTATCATCAAAGATGAGCTTGTGGGGCCTTTTCGGGTTGAGGATGGAGTCAAGCTCAACTCCCAGTCCTACTGCCAGTTCCTGGAAGACACCTTCTTCAAGCAGTGGTACAGGAAGAAGTCTGCATCCTTCAAGAAAAACATGATTTTCATGCAGGACAATGCTCCATCACACCGTACAAGTACTCCACAGCATGGCTGGCAAGAAAGGGTATAAAAGAAGAAAATCTAATGACATGGCCTCCTTGTTCACCTGATCTGAACCCCATTGAGAACCTGTGGTCCATCATCAAATGTGAGATTTAAAGGAGGGAAAACAGTACACCTCTCTGAACAGTGTCTGGGAGGCTGTGGTTGCTACTGCACGCAATGTTGATGGTGAACAGATCAAAACACTGACAGAATCCATGGATGGCAGGCTTTTGAGTGTCCTTGCAAAGAAAGGTGGCTATATTGGTCACTGATTTGTTTTTGTTTTGTTTTTGAATGTCAGAAATGTATTTGTGAATGTTGAGATATTATATTGGTTTCACTGGTAATAATAAATAATTGAAATGGGTATATATTTGTTTTTTGTTAAGTTGCCTAATAATTATGCACAGTAATAGTCACCTGCACACACAGATATCCCCCTAACATAGCTAAAACTAGAAACAAACTAAAAACTACTTCCAAAAATATTCAGCTTTGATATTAATGAGTTTTTTGGGTTCATTGAGAACATGGTTGTTGTTCAATAATAAAATTAATCCTCAAAAATACAACTTGCCTAATAATTCTGCACTCCCTGTACGTAAAACACTAAACAAGAATGGATTTCATGGGAAGATACCACAGAGGAAGCCACTGCTGTCCAAACAAAACATTGCTGCACGTTTACAGTTTGAACAAGAGCACCTGGATGTTCCACAGCAGTACTGGCAAAGTATTCTGTGGACAGATGAAACCAAAGTTGAGTTGTTTGGAAGAAACACACAACACTGGCACAGCACACCAACATCAAAACCTCATCCCAACTGTGAAGTATGGTGGTGGGGGCATCATGGTTTTGGGTTGCTTTGCTGTGTCAGGGCCTGGACGGATTGCTATCATGGAAGGAAAAATGAATTCCCAAGTTTATCAAGACATTTTGCAGGAGAACTTAAGGCCATCTGTCTACCAGCTGAAGCTCAACAGAAGATGGGTGTTGCAACAGGACAATGACCCAAAGCATAGAAGTAAATAAACAGAATGGCTTAAACAGAAGAAAATAGGCCTTCTGAAGTGGCCCAGTCAGAGTCCAGACCTCAAGAAAGCGATTCACACCAGACATCCCAAGAATATTGCTGAACTGAAACAGTTCTGTAAAGAGGAATGGTCAAGAATTACTCCTGACCGTTGTGCACGTCTGATCTGCAACTACAGGAAACGTTTGGTTGAAGTTATTGTTGCCAAAGGAGGTTCAACCAGTTATTAAATCCAAGGGTTCACATACATTTTCCACCTGCACTGTGAATGTTTACATGGTGTGTTCAATAAAAACATGGCAACATTTCATTCTTTGTGTGTTATTAGTTTAAGCAGACTGTGATTGTCTATTGTTGTGACTTGATGATGATCAGATCACATTTTATGACTAATTTGTACAGAAATCCATACTTTTTCTTGCAACTGTGTGTGTATGCTATGTAGTGTGTGTGTTCTATAACACACACTACATAGCACAATGACTTATGGGGCTGCCATAGATTTTTTTTTTTTAAATTTCAGGGCTGTTTCGTGTCCCCAATCCGGCCCTGCACGTCATCTGCATCATGGAATGCTACAGGTGTAATGTATGCTTGTATTGTTTTACTGTATCATTGCTTGAACAATTCCTGAATTTCAGCAGAGTTTCAAGTTGATTTGCTAAATGCCATGACCATATTTGAAGATGATTTGAAAATATTTAAATACAATTTAATTCCTGCAGAGTTTTTGTCTATTCTCCACGTTCTCGAGCAATTCATTTTGTGATATTTCTCTGGTTATTTCTAGTGGCTAGTCACACACAGAAATAAAAACAAATGCTATACTTAATGTAAATGTTGTGTGTGCATAGTCCGTTTATCCAGCTAAACAGATGTCCTTTTCTTTTTAATGAAGAATTAAAAATGTGTTCCATATTTCTTGGTTATATGTAGTGATGATCACACTAAATGTTCTTCTAATAAGCATGTCAATATTTTGAAGCTGGTTAATTTTGAAATATGACTGTGTTTTTATATTTTTGGTTGACAGATGACTTTAGGTCACGAGCAGGGATCTGGAGCCCCATGTTTAAAATGCAAGGATAAATGCGAAGGATTTGAACTGCACTTTTGGAGGTCAGTAAAAAAAAAAAAAAGAATCCATATCTCCTAGCTTATATACCTGTCCATGTCAGAACGTCTGATATCGAAAGAGGTGAGTCCAACACCAGGAGATAACGACAAGATATATTTCCTAAACTGTCGAGTTTACAAAAATTGACACTTTAATTTTAAAGGAACACTAGAGTCACCTAAATAAGTTTAGCTTAATGAAGCAGTTTTAGTGTATAGATTATGCCTCTTAAATTTTACTGCTCAATTATCTGCCATTTAGGAGTTAAATCCCTTTGTTTCTGTTTATGCAGCCCTTGTCACACCTCCCCTGACTGATTGCACAGCCTGCATGAAAAAAAAACTGGTTTCACTTTCAGTCATATGTAATTTACTTTAAACAATTGTATATCTGTCTCTGTAAATCGAACTTTAATCACATACAAGAGGCTCTTGCAGGGTCTAGCAAGCTATTAACATAGCAGGGGATAAGAAAATCTAAATTAAACAGAACTTGTAATAAAGAAAGGATACACTTTAGATGACTCTTTACAGGAAGTGTTTAGGAAGGCTGTGAAAGTCACATGCAGGGAGGTGTGACTAGGGTTCATAAACAAAGTTATTTAACTCCTAAATGGCAGATAATTTAGCAGTGAGGCTGGAGGGACATGTTCTATACACCAAAACTGCTTCATTAAGCTAAAGTTGTTTTGGTGACTATAATGTCCCTTTAAGTATGTGGCCAGTGATGGACTATTATGAAACATTTTAGATGGTTTACTAATAACAATTTATACAACTAAGAACAGTGTAGCTTATTTACACAGACTGACTTCTAAACCCATTTATTGTAGTTCAAAGACACATTACTGGGAGTATTATTGCTGTGGAGCTCTGTTGTACACTCAGACACACCAACAATATGGAGCTCCAAGAAAAGAGGGACATTAGGAGAGAAAGGACACAGAGATTTAAGCCCAAAATAAGAACTGCCCATCTGTAAAGTGGGACATTATCAAAGAACACATGCAGATTCCCAATACTCTGAGGCTGTTTAATTATGTGCTTGCCCTGCACTTACCCTCATTTATCCTTATACTGTTTAAGCAAGCCACTCTGTCCAATAACGGGGAAGATTGATAGATAATTGAGTGACTTGACTGAACTATAACTTATAAATCGTAATAAATACGATGACTTTTTTTTATACTTTTAGAAACTTGTCCTATTCTTTTCCTTTATTTAAAGATGCACTCTAAGCATCATAACATTTTCAGTTTGTTGTAGTGGTGTAATGGTAAATTAAGTAATTTCTTTATATTTATGAAGTTCTGAATTGCATAAATATAAAATAATACCACAAATAAAATAATAAAAGGTATACTGGTCAATCACATAAATATTAGTGAATATCTTGAATGAACAGACAAGAGGCAAAGTTTTGATGAAAGTATAAACAAAACTTTACTGGGAATACAATTATCAAGCACACAAAAAAGAAACAAATACTTTAAAACCATACACTGCTATAAACAATACATTCAGGTAAGAAATCTACTTAGCTCTATTCATGGAGATTCAGCAGCTTACACAGGATAATTGAATCAGCATAACACACAGAACAATGAGGTGAGTTCCTTGCCACATGTTAAATGGATTTACATGGGCACCTCTAAAGACACCTGGCTTCTTCCGACCCAGTCATGAAACTGAGAACTCTAGTTTCTGGAAACCCCTTGAATAACCTCCCATCTAGTATCCACCCACAGAGGTAACATAACCAATACCTAATGGTCATCTCTAGGAGGCGGATACTACATGTGGTCCTTTGTGAAAGGAAGTGACTTAAGAATTCTCAATACCTTCCTAAAGCACATGTCTCATTGACTATGCGGCAGCCATCTTTATTCACTCGACGTCACAGTGCTCACTAGGCCACCTATAGGTCACTTCCTCCCTAAAGCACATGTCTCATTAAATATGCAGCAGCCATCTTCTTGCTCTTAATGTCACATAGCTCACTACACCCCCTATAGGTATCATAAGTTATTGCACATGAATGGGAACACAATAATAGAACATTTATCATTGCCCATAACCAATACAATCCACCTGTTGATCCCATTACATGAGTAATAACTATAACTCATATATTTCTCGGATAGGTCTTACTTTCTTCATAGCTTGCTTTCCCACACATATAATACAATTTACAAAAAAATACAATATTATACATAAAACAACACCCACTACTACCCATTGCATTACTTTAAACCCTAAATTACCCAACCACCCAAAAGGTCCACTATCCGGTGGATTCTGGAGCTTCTTCCTGGTATCATTTATCTTTGAAATATCATGTGTTATTGCGCCAGAGTTATTGACAATATACGAGCAGCACTCTGTCCCTACCAACGCACAAACGCCTCCTTTGGCGGCCAAGACATAATCTAATGCTAGTCTATTTTGCAACACCACTGCTCTCATTTGTACCTGCTCTTGGGATAGTTTGTTAATAGCATCCACGGCTGCATCTAAAGCTTCATCCACTAGCTTTTTTAAAGCTTCTATTCGAGTTAATGACCAATATACTCCCCAGCCGGGAAATACAATTCCAGAATTAGCTTCATGTTCTCCGATAAATGAACTCCACCGTTTATTTCTAATCATGCCTTCTGGAAAGCTATTTCTATGCCTTATGGCGGGGATGATTGATCCAATGTAACATTCTCCTTCCCATTGAGTAGGTAACCATCTATAGGCCCAATTACCACACAGAAAATACACACCTCTGGGAAGGACACTGTAACTATTATCTGGGGCCCCACTAAAACAAGTGTCCAGGAGTATAGAAATAAAGGGAAAGCTCAGTCTTTTTATTGCACCATGAGAGGTCATACTTATTACTCTCACCATTGGGCTGGAGTCTTTGACAGTCATTGCCCAATGTTGTTCATTACCATAGCCCTTTACCCAGGCAGATGTACAGTTAGAATATCCCATTTTAGTGGCATTGGCTCCATTGTTATGTGAACTGATACAAATAGCACCTTCCTGGGGGCGGTTTATAATATGCAATCTGTCCAATGATTGTGGCTTTCCTTCTTCTCGGTACCAGCCGAATCCTGTATTATTATATTGTTTTAACTCCTCCAATGTCCATGGAACACCAACATATGGGTAACTGCTCTCCTCGCTGAATGATATGGTCCCACAAATCCAGCAATCCGTGCTGTTTGACACTCTCGAATAACTTGCTAATAGATTCAGGTATGAGTTGGAGGACCAGGGATCCGACTTGTCTATATAGCCACCAATCTGTTGGAAGGAAAGAAAACAGGGTGAGTACCTCCACTTAGTAATACAACTTTAGTGTCACCAGGTCCATTGGACAGTATTTCTCCCTTCTGTTTGACCTGCTCACCTGCTCGTGGTAGCACCCATACTTTGGAACCTGTCTGTAAGGTATTGCTTTCCTCCCATGTCACTAATACTTTCCGTGGGATCCAAATGGAAACCACGCCTAATACAGTGTGTGAGAAAATCTGGCCTGGACACCCCCTGGTAAATCTGATAACACATTTACCATCCCTGTGGTCAACCATTTATCATCTCTTAGCTTCTCTGTTAGGGCAAAGGTCACTTCAGTCCCTTCTGGTAATATCCCACCCATGGGAAGGATGTATGTCATCCATTCATCACCCTGTACAATCTCAACTAGGTTCTGGCTGACCACTTTAAATTTGTTCTTCCCCACCTGTTGGGGGAAAGATCCCTTGAACCTTAATCGAACTGACACAGTTGGTGTCCCTACCTGTCCAGTCAATCTTTCATAAGGTGAAAACTGTCCTATTGGTCTACTATTTAGTATCATAACTGCCTGCGTGATCACCCGGTCCCACCCCCTCAATGTCCTACTTGGGGATAGCTTCCGAATCTGTTCTTTTAAAAGCCCATTGCACCTTTCAATCAACCCCGAAGCTTGAGGATGATAGGGGATGTGGAAGATCCACTTAATCCCTGAGTCATTTGCCCACTGCTGTACGAGCTGTCCAGTGAAGTGGGTTCCATTGTCTGTCTGAATCTCAGATGGCAGTCCATAAGCAATCACAAGAGTCTGTAGCATCTGAAGTGTTGAGGCCTGGTTCGCATGTTTGCAGGGTAATACTTTCAGAATTCCGGAAAAGGTGTCTACAGCAGTACAACAATACATCAGCCCCCCTCTTCCTTTAGGCATGGGACCAATGTAGTCCATCTGCCAGATCTGTCCTGCTATTGTTCCTTTATTTAAATGTCCACGGGCTTGCTTCGTGAGGGGCCATTTCTTAACCTCATTGCAGGTCTCACATACTTCTTGAGCTTGGACAATCATCTGGAGAGTTATTGGTAGTCCTCGGGCTCGCGCCCACTCTAGCGTAGCTGCTTTTCCTCTATGACCCACGGTCTCATGGGCCCAGTCTGCTATCCTAAGTAATACTGGATCAACAGGTTCTGGTGTTATTTTTGCTTCTCGTATTCGGGTCAATTCATCGGCTATCTTATTCGGGTTCTCTTCTCCAGTACTGTCTTTCACATGGGCATTAACATGTCCGAGGTGTATTAATCTTGATTGGGCTGTTTTCCATATATTTTCCCATAAATCTTCTCCTCCCCATACTGTCTTGCCATGTATTTGCCACCTGTTGTTTCTCCATGTAGGCATCCATGTAACACAAGCCTTGTACACAGCCCAGCTATCTGTATAGATGTAGAGCTCTGGATCTGTGGTTTCTTCCATCAGTATGACTATGGCAGTCAATTCAGCATATTGACTAGATCCTCCTATTCCCTTCTCTTGAATCACAATTTGTTGCTGAGGGTTGTAAGCTACTGCAGTCCAATGTCGTCCTTTGTGGGTCATGATTGCAGACCCATCTGTGAACCATGCGTTTTTCTTTTGTTCTTCACCCAGTTCTCTGAATGAAGGAGCTGTCTTGATGGGTGAGGGCTGTAAAATTGGGACTTCTTGTACATTGGGATGTGAAAGTGTATCATATGTCACTAACCCAGTAAGGAGTTTGGTCAGTTCCTTCACTTCACCTGCTTGGATCCCTCCTCTTTCCTGCAGGTACCACTTCCATTTTAATAATGTCTGACTTTGTGCCACTGTTGTCTTTGCAGATAATCCTTCATCTCGTACCCATCCTGCTATTGGTAAATCTGTTTTCACTGATACTATGCTTTTCTCAGTCATTGTCTCCACATGCTGCAGTGCGAGGTATGCTGCCAGAAGATTCTTCTCCAAAGGTGTGTACCTTTGCTGAGCCCCAGTCAATTGCTTGGACCAAAACCCAATTGGTACTGCCCGCTTGCCTTTGTCTTCGCTCGGTTGCCATAGTCCCCATGATGCTACGTTGTCGTTCACCATCACATCCAATATGAACGGAGCTCCAATTTGAATCGGGCCCAAGCCCTGATGCTGTAATACTGCTTCCTTTGCTGCTTGGAATGCTGTAGCTTGATCAATTCCCCATACAAATGCTGATTTCTTTCTTGTAACATTGTATATGGGGCGTAGCAGCAATCCTAGATGCGGTATAAATGCTCTCCAGTAACCAACTGCACCTAAAAACTTTTGGGCTTCTGTTAACGTCTTAGGTTCTGGAGAATTCTGGATTGTATCCAGCACAGGCTGAGGTATCTTCCGAACAGGCCCAGACCACATCATTCCTAGGAATTTAACTTCTTGGGTTGGACCTTGAATTTTGTCTTTATTTATTGCCCATCCCCGTCCAGTCATGTAATTCACTAGAACAGGTAATGCTTCTTTCACTTCCTCTTTAGATCCCGAGATCATGATGTCATCAATGTAGTGAAACACTGGAAGATGTAGAGTGAGGTGGCTTAAATCCCGTGCAACTAGTCCATGGCAAATCGTAGGTGAGTGTATATATCCCTGGGGCAAAACTTGGAAGGTATATTGGCGTCCTTCCCAAGTGAAAGCAAATTGATCTTGCGACTCAGGTGCAATAGGAATTGAAAAGAACGCATTAGCTAAATCTATTACCGCATGCCACTCCCCGGCCTGTTTGGCAATGTTTCCCACAATGGTGATAATATCAGGGACAGCAGCACTCAATGGTGGTGCTACCTTGTTGAGTCCCCGGTAATCCACCGTCATTCGCCATGAGCCATCCATCTTCTTTACAGGGAATACTGGAGCATTGAACGGACTGACAGCTGGACGAATTACACCTGACTGTAAAAGCTTGTCGATAGTTTCACTAATTTCTCGACATCCTCCGGGCAAACGGTATTGCTTCAGTCTTACCGGGTTGCACGGAGGAGGAACAATGACAGGTGTCCAATTTGCATTCCCTCGCACAATGTCTTTTACTGGTCTGAGATAGTATGGCTTATGAGGGAATCCAAACGTGAACACCCCCCACTGTGTCTCAATACTCTGCCCTAGTAACACATCTATTCCCAAGATATTGTCTGGCAATTCTGAAATCAAAACTTTAGCACTGAATCTTGGTCCTTTGTTAATTGACATAGCCACAACAGTTTGTACTGCTTTGGTAATTCTACCTCCTAAACCTTCTATTCTCACACAGGGTCCTGATAGCCTTGATGGATTACCATGCAGTACTGTGACTTCTGCTCCTGTGTCAACTAAAGCTAAAATCTTTGTTGGTCCTGGTCTTGTCCCCCACCACACAGTCAAAGGTACATAAGGGCGTCGGTCCCCGGCGGTTAAAGGGGACACATGTACCGCCGGAGGCCCACCATTCTGTCATTGTACAACAGCACTGTCCCAATCCATCAAATCATGTGTCATCAGATCTTTTACAGGATACAAGGATCTGACTTTACCATCACTCTCTGGCAGTGCTTGTTTCTCACTAGATGTAGTATGAGAGTAAGTCCTAGCACAATATTCTGTTGGAAACAGTGAAGACATATGTGGGTATGAATGTGGGGGGGTGTTATCTTGGGCTTGAAGTGAGGGTGGGGGCACAGCATAAGGAGCACAATGTTGGAATAGAGGTATGGACAGAGGAGCTGTGTCTGTAGGCATGAGAGGAGTGTTTTTTAAATAACTAGGGGGAGGAGACTTTGGGACAAATGGGGCAGAGGGCATGGTATTGTCTGCCTGATCCTTGCATGCCAAATGTACCTGTACCTTTTTATTAGACCCTTTTTTTAGATTTAACCATTTTTCAAACATGGCAGGTGTTGAAATTCCATTAATTTGTTCTCTAGGTACACCAGCCTCAATCAAATCATTCCACATTTGAAAACGATTAACTCTCAGCCTTGTTTTATTCCTAAACTTTCCCTGCTTTTCTCCCTCTATTGGTTCCACCATCTCCTCCCTCGTCCTGTTAGCGGCAAACACACCTTTCCTAGGGTTAGATTCTGACTCTAATTCTCCAATTTCAGCTAAATAAGTGGTGAGCTGATGTACCTTTACATTATTCCCCAAACTGCCCAGCAAAGACAATAAAGATGCCTTCATTTCCTGGGGTGCACTTTTTAAAAACCGAGACCGCATGCTGGCTGTGAATTCCTCCATGTCTGGACCTTCCCAGTTATCCTTGTTTAATCCCACCACACAACCCATAACTCTAATGCGGGTAATAGCATCCCTCGGTTTTGACCAGGGTGAAATGGGCTCAATGTCATTGCTAGATGGGAAGGCCACAATTATGGCATGCCGCACCATATCAAATAATGAAAAATTACCTCCAATCTCCCTCACCCTCCGTAATACCTGCATGAGCTGTGGATGCAGCGTCAGCTGCCCCATACATAATGCTTCCCTTGCATTCAACTGCACACTGTCAGCTCCTCCATCCCACATGCGCAATAACCATTCTCCCACATTTTCACCAACTTCATGCTTATACACCTTTGCCAGCTCCATGAGCTCTGTTTGTGTGTAACTTTTTACCACTTCATTCATCTCTTCATGTACACCATTTCTCAAACCACGCGCTCTATCTTGTAGTGTCCTTTTCCGCTGCTGTGTAATGATAGGACGGGCTTGTCGCCTGTCCACATCATTATCATCATCAGAAAAGGATACATACTCATCATCAGATGACTGTAGCGGTGCTTCAGGATCCCATATGGGGTTTGCAACCATTGCTCGCACTTTACTTACAGGCACTGGCTTTTTTCCTTTCTGTGACCTCCTGCGGTTAATCTTGCTTACCACTAAAGTAGTACATTTTTCTTCTAGGGCAGCCACCTGGCATGCATTACTACGCATACATTCTTTAGTCATAACTAATAAATCTTTTACATCCTGCAACTCTTTCTCGAGCGCTTTATTTCTCTGCACCTCGCGGCTAAGGGCCTGCACAACTATCCACCCTGTGGTGGCAGCGGCTTTCCGCACTTTTTTGGAGTATACTCCCAGGTCTAACCGTAATGCTTGAGCACCAAGTTCAGTACCAGCATCAGGATAGACAGGAGCTGCATACTTGATCAGCTCCTCAGCAATGGGTTTCCAGTTTTCTAAACTGGCCCACAATGGAATTGTCCCATACTTAGACGCCTCCTTCCCTCCTGCTCTATTACTTTTTTTAAACAGAGTAAGCATCTTTACTCTCAGGGGGAACACAAAAATGCAAATATACCAATCAAAGACAATGCTTGTTAACTATATCTCTTTTCACTGTGCAACGTGACTGTGCTATAGGCTTATTCAATCTATATACACATTCAAATATTCTATATTTAGTGATTGTGCAGTATCCTGTTCACAGCGCCAGTTGTAATGGTAAATTAAGTAATTTCTTTATATTTATGAAGTTCTGAATTGCATAAATATAAAATAATACCACAAATAAAATAATAAAAGGTATACTGGTCAATCACATAAATATTAGTGAATATCTTGAATGAACAGACAAGAGGCAAAGTTTTGATGAAAGTATAAACAAAACTTTACTGGGAATACAATTATCAAGCACACAAAAAAGAAACAAATACTTTAAAAACATACACTGCTATAAACAATACATTCAGGTAAGAAATCTACTTAGCTCTATTCATGGAGATTCAGCAGCTTACACAGGATAATTGAATCAGCATAACACACAGAACAATGAGGTGAGTTCCTTGCCACATGTTAAATGGATTTACATGGGCACCTCTAAAGACACCTGGCTTCTTCCGACCCAGTCATGAAACTGAAACTCTAGTTTCTGGAAACCCCTTGAATAACCTCCCATCTAGTATCCACCCACAGAGGTAACATAACCAATACCTAATGGTCATCTCTAGGAGGCGGATACTACATGTGGTCCTTTGTGAAAGGAAGTGACTTAAGAATTCTCAATACCTTCCTAAAGCACATGTCTCATTGACTATGCGGCAGCCATCTTTATTCACTCGACGTCACAGTGCTCACTAGGCCACCTATAGGTCACTTCCTCCCTAAAGCACATGTCTCATTAAATATGCAGCAGCCATCTTCTTGCTCTTAATGTCACATAGCTCACTACACCCCCTATAGGTATCATAAGTTATTGCACATGAATGGGAACACAATAATAGAACATTTATCATTGCCCATAACCAATACAAGTGGTTATGGTGCTTTGAGCTTTTGGGTGAGTTCCCTTTGGTTTTCTGTCAAATGGTATTCAAGCAAATTATCAAACAATAGGACTTTTCCCAAAAACATCTTCTTCCTGTTATACAACCAACTAAACAAATCGACCACATTAGAACACGACCCTTATTACAGCATGGCAAACTGTTCTAGGTAAAACCTTTGACAAGGATCGCTGGTGCAAAGCTTTCACAGCCGACAAGTGGAGAACAAGCTGCCTCTCTCACCTAGAATTAATGAGGAAACTGCGATATAGGTGGCACATGGTTCCCGAGAGACTATCTTGCATCTACCCTGTCAAAAACAATGTTGGAGGTGTCAGCGAGGGATGGGAACAATGCTCCACATATGGTCTACATGTACCACAATACACCCTTACTAGGATATGGTGGAAAAGGAGGTGACCGGGGCTCTTGGGATCTACATCACTCTCACACCTGAATTATGCCTGCTACGAAGCCAAATCTCGCTAAACTTAGACTATGAAGCTCTAACAGTCACCCAAGCACAATATAAAAAGCACATCAGGGAAGCTAGGGCCAACAACTTGAAAAGGGAACATACTCCTAATGAGTAGGGATGAACCAGTGGGGTGGAGGGAAGTAGAGAAAGAAAAACAGGTGGTGAAAAAAAAAATCCTTAACTATGGTGAGGTGATAATAGCGATACTAGGGCACTCAAAGTGAACCTACCTCTCTACCACAGAGAGGATTATTGCCAGCTCCTAAATGGTTATGGTATATATGGATAGGGCTGCATAAACAAAGTGATTTGGAGCAGTGAAACTGGAGGGACACGAACTATATACCAAAACTGCTTTATTAAAAGCATAAATGTTATTTTGATGCTGGATGAATTTTTTATATATATATATATATATATATATATATATATATATATAATCTCTATATCATACACAAACATTCAGGATGTATTGCAAAGGGTCAAATAGCCACGGGAAGAAGTAAAAAAGACATCATACAATTCCTGCAAAGATCTAAATTCTGAAAGTAGGAGAACATTCACTCTCAGTTTTTGTTTTGTTTTTTGTTTGTTTTTTAAGTGACCATGCATCACTTGGCAATTTGTTTTAGACCTGCAAACTCAAATAAAGCAAGAAAAACACAGAGCAAGTTTATTGTACACTTTTATAAACGTATATTACATACTTTTCAGTTTGCATTGATGAGCACGCCTCACAGCTTGGGGAGTTTCTTCAGCTCTCCCCGCTCCCTTCATCTTACCCCCCCACTAATTCAGTCCAGACTAGTCCATCAATGATAGAAATAGGACATCATTGTGAAGCAACAGCAAGCTCCCCATTTCCCCTGCACTGGCTAACGTAGCAGGGAGAAAGAAATCCGATACCGGAGCCTGCACTGCATTAATCACACTGATCGGACTCCCTCTCTCCTTCCCCTCTCAGGGTGTTGCAAGGTTTACAGATCTTCCAACTGCATATGTGTAAATCTGTCAAGCATGCCCAATGCACGTTTCCAGCATTCCAAGGGATAGGAAATGGATTGGTTAGGTCAGTGCCTCTCCCAGGCGAGTGTGTGGAAAGCGTATACAAAGCTGTTAAATATGAAAAGCATTCAAAGGTCTTATTTAACATAGAAACATAGAATGTGACGGCAGATAAGAACCATTCGGCCCATCTAGTCTGCCCAATTTTCTAAATACTTTCATTAGTCCCTGGCCTTATCTTGTAGTTAGGATAGCCTTATGCCTATCCCACGCATGCTTAAACTCCTTTACTGTGTTAACCTCTACCACTTCAGCTGGAAGGCTATTCCATGCATCCACTACCCTCTCAGTAAAGTAATACTTCCTGATATTATTTTTAAACCTTTGTCCCTCTAATTTAAGACTATGTCCTCTTGTTCTGGTAGTTTTTCTTCTTTTAAATATAGTCTCCTCCTTTACTGTGTTGATTCCCTTTATGTATTTAAATGTTTCTATCATATCCCCCCGTCTCGTCTTTCCTCCAAGCTATACATGTTAAGATCCTTTAACCTTTTAACCAAACGCTTTTGAATGCAACAGTTGTCAATCTCAATGCATGTCCCCTTAAATGAATGACCAGTCTGCCCTTAGTTATAAAGGTTTATTTAAGTAATCCTTACGCAGATTATACTAAAGTTAGTAGATATATTGCTCAAAACTGGCACATATGTTTTAAGGAACATACAGTTGCATAACACTTTGTGTGTTCTAAGTTATTCACTAAACCGTGTATAGTAGGGAAAACCAAACTGCAAAATCTAGAGTAGAGCAGCAGACCAAAGAAAAGTTGGAGAGTTATTCCAAACTAGGGATCGACCGATCCCTATTTAGAGCCGATACTCTGAACTTTCAGGCTGATAGCCGATAACTTACCGATATTCTGTACATTTACCATTTTGAAAAACTAACCTATTTCTAAAGGTAAATGCACAAAATATACATGCCACATGTAGTGGATGCAGTGTGTTTAGACAGGGGAGCTGTGTGTGTTTGTGTAGTGGATGCAGTGTGTATTTGTGTAGTGTGTGTGTGTGTGTATAATAAATGCAGAGTGTGTTTGTGTAGTGTGTGTAGTGAATGCAGTGTGTGTGTGTGTGTAATATATATTGAATGTAGAGTGTGTGTGTGTAAAGTGAATGCAGTGTGCGTATAGTGAATGCAGTGTGTCTGTGTAGTGTGTGTGTGTGTGTGTGTATATATATATATAATGAATGCAGAGTGTGTGTGTGTTTTTGTGTAGTGTGTGTTTGTGTGTATATAATGCAGAGTGTGTGTTTCTTTCCCCCCAGGTTTTTTTTATTCTCCATGTCTCTGGAATCCACTTGAAATCTAGTGTCATGTCTGTCTCCTCAGTGCAGCCACTCCAACACTGGTCAGATCATCCGAAATGATGACTTTTTTTTTTTTTTTTTTTTCAAATCTAACGCATCTCATATGGAAGTATTTGGGGTAAAGTGAGCATGCGCTGTGCTCCACAAATAAAATGCTTCATAGAGAAGCATTGGATGTGTTGGGGCATCATCATAGCATGATGACTGCAAATCTGAAGACTTTTTAGGATAAAAAAAAGACCATATATGCACCAAAACTACTTTATTAAGATGGAGTGGTTATGATGCATAGAGCATACCGTAAGTATTTTTTTTTTCTTCTCTTTTCCCCCATGTCCACTTCTACACCCTATCCTTCTTTTCTTGCACCGTCTAACCTTTTGTCCATCATCCTGTTTGTTGTCCATTATCATTTTGACTATGCTTGTTAAACCTACAGAATGGCTCTATGTTCAAGCATAGTAAATCTGTAATATGCCCAATCATTTTTATTTATTTTATTTTTAACCCTAAATCTCTAGGAAAATTTGCAGAAACTGCAAATGTGGGGAAGAAGAGCATGATGTTCTTTCCAATAACGAAGATGACCGGAAAGTGGGTAAACTGTTTGAAGACACAAAATATACTACTCTAATAGCCAAGCTAAAAACCGATGGAATTCCCACTTATAAAAGGAATGTGATGATTCTTACCAATCCGGTCTCAGCAAAGAAGGATGTATCTATCAAAACAGTAACTTACGAATGGGCTCCTCCAGTGCAAAACCAGACCTTGGTAAGAACGATACTTAACGCAACAGTGACATTTATGAATATAAGGATATATTTTTTGATAAATTGATAAATTTGGTGTGTTTTTTTTTTTTTGTTTTTTTTTGTTATATGGTTCTGCTGCTTGTTACTAAACCTTGATTGCTTTGATTGTTTAATAACATATTTCATTCCAGTTACAAATCACCCCGCTATCCCAAGTTCAGCATAACAGTCAGGTTCCTGTTGAGCTGTCCATCAGTTATGTCTCCATTCAGCACAACATGAACATATCTTTAGACGTACTCCTCCTTTGCAAAGTGATCTATCCACTCTTACTCTTCAAAACCTGGTCTGCCACGTGGACATGCTCCTTTTTGGGTAAAACTGCCCATTTCTGAGACTCCATTCTGACTCCATACATCTTATAGTTGGAAGTTATGCAGTTACACTGTGTATACATCTTGTAAATGTATACTCTATTTCTTGGACTACTTAAATCTATATACAAATGTGCATACATAAAATGTACCTGTCTTGGTATGCACAATGTGAACTTAAATGCAGTTGACAATAGCTGTATACTGAGATGGCCACTATGTAAGCTTATTTCAACATATTCCCAACGGCTGTAAATCAGTTGTTGATATAGATGTCCGTGTTGACAACTGAGTGACGAGGAGAGCATGAATCTTTCTACAGATGAAGGTCTACTGCTGTCCATCACAGGAACTACAGTGCATGTGCTGTAGCTGCTTTAGTATCCCTCTAGGAAGTGCACCATGATATTGCTGGGGAAATGAAGGAACAGAGTGACGACTCTGTTCTGATGCCAAGATTGTCCTTGTGGAAGTGTTCCATTGCTGGGCCAATTCTGTCAGATTGGGGTGAAAGCTAGACCGTGCAGAAGGTTGGGTAATCTATTAGGGACCTCTAATCATGGTTGGTTATAACATTTCACTTTCAAAGCATTTAAATATGTAATTTACCACTCTTATGACAGCTCACTTTTAAAATTGTCTTCTCGTTCCTGGTGTGGGTTGTATGCATGTACCGTCAAAATGTTCCATGCTGTCTGGCACCACATACATTGTATTGTGTGAGGGCATAGTTTTTATTAATATCAGTTTACTAGTGGCATGTGACCCCCTGAAGGCATAATGCACTTATAGTTATGACATCTGTGCATCAAAAAATATATACTGTGTTTTATATAAATACACATGTGCAAGAGTACACCACTAAGGCTACTAGGGGCTAGAGATGGAGACACAAAGATGAAAAACCTTTAGGGAAGCATTTCTGGCTATCCACACCCAGCAAACGTCATCTTTGACAAGTAAAAATGCCAATCCCTCTACATAATTCCTAGAAACCTGTCTAGGAGAAGACATCAGAGCTCTTTGTAAGAAGAATAGACTTAAGAATTCTTGAAGTTCTTTTAAACCCTGCATCCTACAGAAAACACAGAGCTAATTGTGTAACAAATTAAATGTGAAAATGTAACAAACACTGCTAATAACTTTTAACCATAATTGGTAAATCTCTCCTAGATAGTGTTCATTAAGCAATACCTAGATGAGATCAGTTATGTAATGTGCGCATGATATAAAATATGAAGCCAAGAACAGGCCTGATTGTGCTTTGAGAAGAGAAAAAGGATATTCTTTAATAAATAGGGAAGTGTACAAGTCTGCTCAGATCTCACCTTAAAGGAATGCTTGAATTGTGAATGTGACTTAAAGGTGGCTTGATAAGTGGGGCAGGGAAAGGGTGTAGTGGTTGTGTTAAATTTTTGGCTTTAGTGGGGTATTAGGGGCTTTAGTTGGAGTATAGTGATGTGATGGGAGAACAGGGGCTCTAGTGAGGAGATAGGCACTATTGTGGGGTGGTGAAAGGGGTGACTGGGGCTGTAGTGGGAGGATAGAGACGATGAAGGGGATGAAAGGTACTACTGTGGGGACAGTAAGTGTAGTGGGGTGAAGGGGCTGTAGCAGGAGTATAGTGAGGTTATGGGGACTGTAGTGGAAGGATAGGGAATATTGTGGGGTGGATATCGGATATAGTGGTGTGACATGGGCTTTAGTGGGTTGGCAGGGGCTGAAGTGAAGGGTAGTGGCTGTAGAGAGTATGACGAGGAGCATAGGTGTGATGGAGCACCTCTACTCTGACAGAGTACCACCACCCAATCCGCTTCCTATGGGGAGGGAGCCTGGAACGCTTAGCCAAGGCTTGACTGTGGTCTGTCTGTGTCCTGGGTGGATGTTTAGGGATCCCAGGAACAATTTCCAAAAGGAACTAAAATACAATACTTTATTTTACTTGGGAATAGCCCATATGTTCGTTACATAAACCTTGCTGTGACAAACTCAATAAAATACAAATAGCCAAAACATTTTAAAAAATATACAGGGAATTATAATAACCTAAGAACATGTTTCTAAAAGGGTGGGGAAGACAATATTTAACATAAAATCTCTCTCTTGCTTGCAGAATTAGCAAGATGCAAATTAGCAAGCCTTGCTATTAAGGTAGTGCATATAGCTGTTACTACCAACAGAGGGCGCTATACAGTCTCCATAGCCAAATCCACTTAGTTGGTAACAAGCATCAGCAGGAGAGGAGAGAGCATAAAACAAATAACAATATGCAAACACATGATAAAGACTGCACCTATAATGGGCAGCAGGTGACTTAGACATAGGAGCAATTTAGGAACCTTTGTAAAATGTCCTTCTGCTCCCAGTGATGGTGACTACCATCACAATAGGATCACCCCACTATAGACCCTATAGGTCTGTAGTGGTTGGTAGGGAATTCATTTAGTGCTCTATTTATGAGAAAAAATATATTGGATTTTTTTTTTTTTTTCCTATGCTGACTGGGTTGTGCAAAGAAGCCTATTATTATATTGATTAACAGGGAGCTAAGTGAGCACCCAGTGGCAGAGGTGTAACGTTTACATTTAATTTGATTGTACACACCTCACAAATACATATTTGTTAAATAAAGAGATATGTGTAAACCTAATTTTAAAATCCTAGTAAGTTGATTCCCATTTGATAAGAGATCTGAATAAATTAATTTGTAAAAAAACAATTTCATAACTGAAATTGAGGTAGTGCGATACTGAGGTATGTTCAAAGTCGCATTGCTCAAACTTGCGTCTTAGACATTTTTTATATTGTATACAATGAATTGAGCTGTAGTTTGAAAATTATATTTTGTATATAGTTCCATTATTTGCTTCTATAATAGTGTTTGTGCAGGAATTAATATGCATCCCACACATATCCATTGTGGGATAACACGGACTGCAAGTTGTATTAAATGGATATCATACCTAGCTGTCTAGTACATGACCCAAAGAGAGAGGAAATGGGGATTCCCCAAGCTTTCCATCTCACAAAGGCAAGCGTCTGTTTTTGGATGTACAAAGTGAGACTCGTATGGTTGGTTTATTCTCCACCTTTTACTGTCTGTGTTTTTTTTTTTTTTTTGGTGGTTTTTTTTTGTGGTGTTCTGTTTTTATCGGTGTGTTGTTTGTTTGGTGGTTTTTTTTTGTTTGTTTTTTTTTTAGTTTCTGATTTTATTCCTGTCTATTTGTTACATTAGGCCAGGCGCTATATGGAAATGATCCCGAAAGAGAAGCAGCCGGTGGCAGGTTCAGAAGGTGCTCAGTACAGGAAGAAACAGCTGGCTAAACAGCTGCCTGCTCACGATCAAGATCCTTCCAAGTGCCATGAATTGTCTCCAAATGAGGTCAAGCAAATGGAACAGTTTGTGAAGAAATATAAAAATGACGTTCTTGGCGTGGGAGATGTGAAGTTGCCCAAAGAAGTGGAGGCGCAAGCTGCAGGAAAAAGTCCCACTGATGGGGACCGGAGCTCTGTTACAACGGTTAGGAGTCCCGAGAGCAAGGCAGCAGCTCAGAAACCGTCCAACTTTGTAAGTTATTGTAATTTAATTCAATGATGGGATTTGCATGCTACCATTCCAAAAATTCTAGTACAGACAGATGATAAATTGCAGAGTTGTGCAGTATTTTCATTTTGATATAAATAAGTGGAGCCTAAACATTGTCTAAAATAAATGATCAGCAACACAAACAATCAGCAGTTTTATGACCACAAAATTAATTTATTGCAGTATACCCAGTATATAAACTTAAAATAAAGCTGAGATACAGTGATAAAAAAAAGTCAAATAGGATTATTTACTATGGTGAGAATCGTTTGGAATTCAAAGTGAAATTCAAATTTAAGGCCAAGTCAAGCGGGAAGAGTAGCTGATTTGGTCAAAATTATCGTTCAGCTATCTTGGAATTCCTGGCAATTCTCACTTTCGTAAATAACCCTAAAAGTCTGAAATATAAATAAATGTTTTATTATTGTGTTTTTATTAAAAGGTCTCTCTAGTCACTATATCAGAATTTTCTAGATGTAGCTATGGTGTTACGATCTAGTTCCTGCAGTCCTGGGTTTTACGCTTGTGAATCTATCTAGAAACCCTGCCAGTCAGTGAACCAGAAATTGCAATTCCTTATTGCATACAAACTCTTTGATTCCTGGCACCATAACCACTACAGCACACTGCAGTAATTACGATGCCCATTTCAAGCTAGCTTAAAGCTGCATGCTCTGTAGTGCTATATAAACACGTTTTCCCCTTTAAATGAAGAGGCATTTGTCATTTTGTGGCCAGGAATGAAAGTTTGTTTAATTTTGTATGTGTGTATACTATAACAATATTTGTAATATGTCACTTTAGCTTTGAAAATCAGTAGTCGCTGTATCTGTTTCCTAATCCGTCCTCAGATGATTTTTAAAACCAGACACCTGATGTATTTCAAATATATGTTAAAATAAATATTTATAGGAATAATGATTGTATAGTGGAAACTGTAAAATCCAAGATTACTGTATTTACTTACGTGCCTATTATACAATGAGTAGTGTATGTAAATATATTGATACACTTATAAGATCCTTACTGGAATAGAAGTCCAGCTGCTCTCTCTTTACAGACCCATATTTGCACGGATCTTTGTGTTTCAACTCTAAATTCTGTTCACATAATTTAGGATCGACTGAAAAGTCGTTTCTTTTCCTTTCTATATACAATGCTCCGAGGAAGCCCCAATTGTCTTTTTAAAAACAAAGCATAAATCAAGGAGATTTAAGTGTTTACTGTTTTTAGCGACCAGCAACTGCACCACCAAGTAGGCTTAACTTGTTCTTGTGCAAGAACACATGGTGATTTTCTTGTATTTATTTCTCTGCTGTTTAATACTGGGACTGAATGTAACATCTCATAAACCACTCATTATACAGATTATCGAATCAAAAGCACATCTCCAGTTATGGGAATATTTTTAGACTTGCAAGCTAGAGCCACGAGTGAGGCTGTTTTTTCCACCGGAGGCGTGCCTCCGTTTGGACAATAGAATGTTTGTGACTGAGTAAAAGGGTTAAAAGATTGGAGGGCGAAGTATGTAGCATGACCTCGCTTTCAATTGGCTCGGTAATTAGAATTTTATTGTTGCGTAGCAAGGGAAATACAGAGACATTTAAGAAGGACTCAGAAAAAAAAGCTATGGTATGTCTGCTTCTAAGCCTGGCTTCTCAATGTCTTATCAAGATTAGACCTCCAGTGTAGAACGTTTGTTTAGCAATATAGATACATCTCAATTATGATCCAAAATTCCACACGTACCATTTATTGCACATGCCGCTTCACTCAGATTACCGGATTATTTAGAAGACACTGGGTTCTGGCCACATTTTTTTTTTTTTTGAAGAATACATATTTAACCATAAATTGACTGAATTATCTTTTCTCTCCTAGTACTGCTTCAAGTGCAAAGAGAACATGAGAGAAGGTGACCCCGCGGTTTACGCAGAGCGGGCTGGGTACGACAAACTTTGGCATCCTTCGTGCTTTGTCTGCTTCGTCTGCAGCGAACTTCTAGTTGACATGATCTATTTTTGGAAAAACGGGAAACTCTATTGTGGCAGACATTACTGTGATAGCGAAAAGCCGCGGTGTGGCGGTTGCGATGAGGTAAATTAAAATATCTGGATATTTCTAAGTATCTGTGAAATTGCATTTTATATATATATACATATATATATATTTTTATTTTACTTTTTATTTTTTTTTGTAGCAATGATAAAGATGCTAATTTAATAGCTTTATTTAGTTATCACACAAAATTTATAGTGTTAAAGTTTTTGGAAATTCTCTATTATCAACTTGCCTGGTCAGCCGAGTGAGCTCTATGAAGTCCTTGCTTATTTGAGTTGAAGGTGCACAAAGCATGAAACCCATAGAGCTCAACCTCTAGATTCTTATTGGAGGAAGTGCCCAGCTTACACCCCCTTTTTGATGACCTCACATACACTGTTCTCATTGCCGTTGGTGTAGGTTCTCTTGGATTGCCAAATCCTGTAGCCTGTGTAGTTCTGCATCAGCTGTTCTATTTAATAGCCCAGATGGAGAGAGCCTTCTGCAGAGCTGAACAACCAAATTCACAACAAATATAAAACAATGCAAAGAAAAAAAGTATATTAGCTGTGAGAACAGAGTGTACAAAAAAAGTTTCAGAAAACTGTAAAATTGTATTGCTGAACATAATTCAATTTTACTGTCGGGATTTTTTTTTTTTTTCTCTTTTTGAAACGTAGATTGTATAATTCAAGAGAACATAGCAACATAGAAATGTTTAAAATCCATAAGATTAGAAAAATAAGGTGTTAATTTTAGTGTAAATGTATAGCTTGATCGCTATAAATACAAAAAATATTTTCTCTGTGCTTATATAACCATGCAACAGCACCCATAGCAGTGGTACATTTATTGCAGAACAAGTTTAAGAACTCTTCCTTACCTCAGTTTATACATGGTTTGCAGCATGCAGTGACATGGACTGTACAGAGATCCTTGTGTGAAATGTATTGCATCAAACCACAATCCGTAAAAGAAAAGGGTGTATACTCGCCCTCATTCAGTGAGTTGCATTATTTCCTGTACACAACAGCTTCCTTTTTACCATGATACAGCCTTTGCACATAGATCTGTTTTGAAGATAATTTAAATGTACACATTGTTTGACAGGTTTATCAGAAGTTCAAATCGTGTATTGCCTGCAGGAATTCTCACAATTAACCCAAAAATGTCCCTTTCACGTCAGTGCAGAAAGACCACACAATTGCCTGTAAGAAAGCAAAAAGCCTTTTTTATGCTCAAATTCTTCAGTTGCTGAGTTACATGTTGTTTGTAGAGCTTCTCCTACGAACATCTTTTGTTATTGTGTTGGAGGTCTGGGTTTTGATGAATTTTGGATTTGGGTCAAATTGAACTTCTGTTGGAGAGTTAACATGTAATGTGCTCTAAATTAGCATCTTAATTTCATTGCAATGTGCCACGTCATTTAATTAGCTGTGGTTTTGGTTTGGGGTTTCAGTTTTTCCACATTTTAACCAATTTTAGTTTAAATGTTGTTTTGTATATATTCCAAAATGAAAAGAGAAAAATCTCTTTAAAACTTACTTTTGCTTCAGCACGGGGTCAGTCTGGTGGAGCAGCAGAACAGCCACTCTGCCTCCAATGCAGTCCTCACCCTTAATGACTTTTCTCAATGTGTATCTCGTATAGAAGGTTTGGGATGTGTAGCGACCACTGCGCTCCACCATTTGCTTCTCATCGCATTCAGTACTTCTTTGGGAGAAGCATTAACCCCATTCCTTGTTGTCATGCTGTTTATTATGATTCTGAACATAGAGACCTTTGACTTTTAGATGGTCTTAAAGAGAAAATGCTTGTAGTGACGGTCAGCCTGACAACCACTAGCAGTATGTTCTCATACAACGTAAGCGTTGCTGTTGCTCATAACTGATGATGTTTACATTTGTGAGAGAAAATGGACAATGTCTGTCTCCAGACCAGTCCCTCTTTAAAGCAACAAACGTATTTTGGGTTTTTAGACTACATAACACTATTTTTAATCCACATGATGTACACGTGTCACCATTCCTTTGCAGTACTTTTAACGTCATTCACCATATGACATCAAGATTTTCAGGGTCGTTTTTTTTTTCCCCAGGCAATTGATGTATATCAATTAATTAAAAAAATAAATATTCAACAGGACATGACATTGAATGAATCAAGAGTGGTACCACACTGACCCCTGGTGGTGTAAAAAAGTACTTGTATCTTTTTCTTAAACTTCACAACAAGCTCACTACACAGTATTGGAAATCTAAATGTATTTTTTTTCCCTGCAGCTTATTTTCAGCAATGAGTACACTCAAGCAGAAGGTCAGAACTGGCATCTGAAACATTTTTGTTGCTTCGACTGCGACTGTGTCCTAGCAGGGGAAATCTACGTAATGGTGAATGATAAACCAGTCTGTAAGCCGTGCTATGTGAAGAACCACGCTTCGGTAAGCACATCAACGTAATGAAATCCCATTGTTGCGATAAATGGGGGAAAAAAATTCTGTAAATGAAATGGACTTGTTAAGCTTTAGAAGATGTTAATTTATTGTAAAATGAAATGATCAAGGTAAAGAATGGAAGATTTAGTTAATAGTCTGACCAGAGTGGTGGTTTTTTTTTTTTTTTTTCATTGCAGTGGATAATAAAAAAAAAAAAAAGTCAAATTATTTTTACTACAAAAACATGTATTTTATTCTCCCTCCTTGGCATGCATACTGATGCAGCAGTATATTATGAATTGTTTTTAAAGGAACACAATAGGCACCCATATCCTTTCATCTCATTGAAGTGGCCTGGGTGCAGTGTTCCTGTCCCATTTAGTTCTGCAGAGCAAATCATTGCAGTCTAGTGAAAAGACCAAGACTGCTTCTAGTGGCTGTCAATCAGACAGCCACTAGAGGCCCTTCCTGGTGGCTAACTGACACTGGAGTCCATTGAGGCAATGCTTTCCTATGGGGAGGGTATGATTAGCCGAAGACACTTGCAATACTCGTTGGGCATGTGCATTAGCCCCCATGTTGGTAAAGGGGGGGGGGGGGAACCAGAGGGCTCTAGGCTCTACATATTTGTATTCCGAACACTATAGATTCAGTTTAAGGGAAAAGCAAGGATTAAAGGGATTAAAATGGAATGGTCTTTTACAGATCATATCCACGGATTTCCTTCCAGAACATAGTTTCAAGCATGCAATCGTTACGATACCAAATTTCTGAGATCCAATTCTAATACAGTTTTAGCTACTCTGAAAAGCAGAGTTTGTAAATGTGCAGCCACTCCTAATAAAATTCCTCTCATGACTTCCAATCAAAGAAAGCATAACCCACAGATGTCATTGCTTTAAGATCTCTGCATTTTCTCTTTCCGAGATTCGGATTATACCTGTGGTTTAACATTGTGAATAGTAAAAATATCTTTGCTCTGTTCACTTCCACTGCTCTGTCACAACTCAAAACTGCTTTTTCTGCCCCTGATCTTTGAAACTTACCTAACAGTTTCCAGACTTGAACTCCCATGAAATCTCAAAAGCAAATTGAAATGTGTCATGGCAATAAAACAGAATCTTGAATAACGATTTAAGCTGCCCTTCCTTCTCATATTTTCTGATTTTTGTTTCTGTGAGTTGACCATTTCCAAAATAGTCTGTATGCACACATGACAGGCATCTGTAATACCTGTACACCCCTTCTGCCATGGTCTGTGTACCATAGCTCCCGTGTTAAGATTGTAACTGTAAATAACGTAGTACAACTAGGTGGGGGTAATAATTGACAACAGGACCGAGTATCAGCATAATATGACACATGATCCAAGATGTTCTGGTGGCACCAGTCACTTAAGGGAAATAGAGCCAAGCTCTAATATAGGTGCACACAATCAAGGTAAATCTGTACAGTCCCTTTATCACTCGGGTGGTGTTTCTTATGTCAACTTTCACTGCCAACTCTGTGTGCAGAAAAGTCAAATAACCATAAACTGATTTATTAACTAATAAAAAAAAAAAAAACCACACAAATGGTATAAAATAACTAAAATAGACACAGGCAAGGATGGAATCGCAAAACAACACTAAATATAAAGTTCGTACAAAGGTGTCAGGTCCTCGTGGCTAATTTGTGTAGGCCACGCCACCTCCTTCCTCTGTAGTCACTGTGCAATCGAGACATGTTTCGAGACATGTTTCACAAAGAGTTCTTCCTCTGGTCAATGCTCAGATTTTTTTTTTTATTTTATAAATCAAATTGTAAGTGACTCGTTATTTCGGTATAGTTAACATTTTAAAAAAGATTAGTGCAGGTGAGTTGAACAAGGGGGCTGTTATCCTAGTTTTGTATCATAGTTTTCTACATTCAAACGCTTCCCCACAGTTCGTGATATTAATTTTTTTTTGGTTCAACCTAATGACTTGCAAGTTGTATGAGCGACTTTACCACATGGCTTAACTACAAAATATTACCTGGAGCACTGTTTAGCAGGTAAGCCGTGCAGTGCTTTCGGTTCCCATTTGAACTCTTTGTACATCTGTTTGGAGGGGAAAATATTGCATAGAGTCAAATTACAGCTGGACCCTTTTCGTGTCTTAACTAAACTCTTCTTAAGCAGCCCCCAAGGGCAAACTATGGTAAAAAGGAACATTTCAGTGTGTAGTGTTGTTGTTTTTTTTTTTTTTTTGAATCAGAGCTTCCCCTTTTTTCTACTTTAAAAAAAAAATAAACATTAAGCTTATTTTTATTCCATACCTTTCGTTCATAGCTCTTGTTTGAAAACCCTCACATCGAGTTCGAAGGATTAAAGTAAAATTTATATATATTTTTTTTTCTTTTTATGCATATACATATTTGTTGCAAAAATATGCATTCACTAACATAAACACAAATATTTCCTAATCCATAAAAACTACCTACAGAACTGGCCTCTACAGGTGGACATCCACCTCTCTTTTCTGTTTTCAGGGAATAATCCACTTTGTGTATATTTAGCATTTCAATGGTATTATGGCAGTTGCAGTTCCAAAATATTTGTAATAAGTGTTGATCTATATACTAATGTACACCATTACAATTGTTTTCTAAAAGATTATTCTCAACACAAAGAACACCGATGAATGAAATAATGTAGAATTTGATCCATTTTGTTCTGATTAATTATGGAATCTGTTCTTCCTTTAGTCATGCCAAGGCTGTCACAATGCCATCGACCCAGAAGTCCAGCGTGTGAGTTACAATGGCTTCCATTGGCATGCCACTGAAGAGTGCTTCCTATGCTCCTGCTGCAGCAAGTGTCTGATTGGACAGAAATTCATGCCGATTGAAGGAATGGTCTTCTGCTCTGTGGAGTGCAAGAAAAAAATGACGTCGTAGAAAATCTCTATTTCATTTTGGGTTTTTTTCTGGAATGGATAAATAGAACTATAAAATTTCTTTATTTTTGCTTTTTTTTTATTTTATTTTTTTATTCAAAACGATAAGATTAATCTCAATGTCCTTTTTAGAATTTTTTTTTTTTTTTTATCAGTTTCTATTGGTATCTAAACGAAAACTACTGCCCAATTAATATAATCCGGAAAGTCCTTGATTTCTGAACATTGCCTGCAATAATCTGTTAAATAAATGCATACCTTTTCTTTGCATTATATAAGGCTTATTACCAATACACATTCTGTTTGTAATGAATGCAGTGAAGTGTAATCTCTGTCTCTGTATCTGCAATCACGTAATGGGATGCCTACATACCTGCTCCAGTTAAGTCACTTGTTTTACCAACTCCAGGATATGGGGTTGCACCATTCTGAAATGCATTTCCTTGGATATTTTTATAACACAGCCTTTATTTGCACAGTGTATACCAGCTGCTGCAATGCAAATTGATTACAATTGTGCTTTACCTTGCTGTTGGTTCACTCATTTTCAATAATATTAATAATAAAATAAAACTTCTAATAAAATAACAGTTGATCCGCTCTGGCTTTCGCGTTACTTGCTGTCTTTATTTTGCAATGATCCTGTAGAGGGAGTTAAAATCAAATCTATAGGGTTGTTAAATTTAAAAAGTCCTGTGTCATAAAATGTATAAGTTTTTGCAACTTTGTCTTAATAAAGCAGGATTATCTAGCCAGTTCTTTCAGGACTGTCTACTCTAAGAGTCTTTTTAATTATGTCAAGTATCACAGGATAATTATTGGGTAAGAGTAATGTTTATTCTTCCATTATTTATTTAAAAGTACATTTTATACAAGATCCAGTGCACTCACTCGTGTAATAAACAGTAAAAATAATGGGAGTTAAATTACAGTATATCATCAAACCTTGCATAATCCTGCCACAAGGTCAATGTACCCAATTCTTGGCAGGTCCTACTCTAGCAACCTAATGTATGCTCTTATGAGATTAATCCACTTACTTGGGAAATGCTTCCTCCTGGGTCCCTTTAGTGCATGATATTAAATAGGGCCCATTTTATATATATATTTTTTTATATATATATATATATATATATATATGTATGAAAATTGTTTCATACTTACCATAATTTTCTTTTCCTGATCATTATTCATGGCAGCATTTACTCATGGGTTAGCTCCTCCCCTCACAGCAGAAAGGACAGGAAATAGAACTTTGAAACTGGTATAAATAGATCCTCCCCCTTCCCATCAGGCAGTCTTTGTAACTAGCTTCACAACTCCTATAGTATATGGGTGGGAACGTAATGCTGCCATGAATAATTATCAGGAAAAGAAAATTACGGTAAGTATGAAACCATTATCCTTTTTCCTGACCATTATTCATGGCAGCATTTACTCATGGGTGTCAGGATTACTAGTTGGTCCAGCACGTGGAATTGTTCCACACAGATGACTAATAGGAAACATATTACCGGGCCTTAAAATGGCCGGACTTAACGTACCAAAGAATAGTCCGGATACTTGTCGAGGTCAGTGGATAATGATACGATAAGAGAAAGCCAGAAGTCAGGGATACCAGAATACAGGGAAGTCAAAATCAAAGTAAAAAACCAGAAGAAACTTGAATCAGGAACGCGCTCTCAGACAACCACAAGGGAAACCATGACAGGGCACTGAACAGGATGAGAACTGGGCCTAAATACCCCTCTTCTAGATATGATAGGCTGTAACCGGCCTTTGACCCCAAAGGCAGTTACTAAGTTTCCATTTGCATAATTGATGCTCAGCATTAACCCTTCTGTGGATTTGGTTGCTGCTTGGCACAACTTTTCCTGTGTAGACAGTAAATGCCATTAACCACATTTTTATAAGCGGATGAATATGTGACAATGGTGAATACCCAAGCAGTATATATCGAGGGAGGGACAGAGTTCAAAAACAGCTAATAGCTATAAAACCATTATTGAGCTGTATAAATCTTAGAAGACTTTACAAAGCCAAACAAGAATCAATAGGATATTGTCATAAAATTTGCTCTTACCTGAACCATTGCTGGCCTGTGTTTTTAAGTGTCAAAATGGGGATTTGAACAACTGACAGCCTAAACTGTTTAAACTATAGGCTTCCATCTGTACCCCATATGCCGTTCATCATCACCATACAAGGTGGAATACATAGAATAGGTATACCCCGGTAGTCACCTATGGAAGTGCTGTTTACTTTGTCTTCAAGGATAAAGGCTTAGACTCGGCTGGGTCTCATGTATGCAGTGGACCGCTGTCATCAGTGGCGTACATACCGGGGTCGCGGCTGCGACCGGGCCCGGCCCAGCAGGGGGCCCGGCCGCCCCTGCGACCCGGTATGTACGCCCAGGGCCAGCCTCTTCCCCTAGGGGGCCCAGGAGCCGGCCACCCCAGGGCCCCCCGAGGCTGGCCCTGCTGTCACCGGGCAGGCAGGCGCGCGAGGGAGCACTCAGTGCTTCCTCTTCAGCTCCCTCGCGCACCGCACTGATGCCGGAGCCGGAAGATGACGTCATCTTCCGGCGCCGGCATCTCTACGTGGCGCGCGAGGGAGCTGAAGAGGAAGCACTGAGTGCTCCCTCGCGCGCCCGCCTGCCCGACCGGCCGCCCGTCCGGTGACAGCAGGGCCACTGGACACCAGGGAATCCCCCCCCAGCACTCCAAAAGGTAAGGAGGCTGGGGGGATTACATTTAAAAAAAAAAACATGTGTTTGTGTGTTAGTGTATGTGTGTGTTAGAGTGTATGTGTGTGTGTTAGTGTATGTGTGTGTGTGTGTGTTAGTGTATGTGTGTGTTAGTGTATGTGTGTTAGTGTGTGTGTGTGTTAGTGTATGTGTGTTAGTGTGTGTTTGAGTGTGTGTGTGTGTTAGTGTATGTGTGTGTTAGTGTGTGTGTGTCAGTGAATGTGTCTGTTATTGGGTGTGTGTCTGTTACTGAGTGTGTTTGATGTCTGTTAGTGAGTGTGTGTTTGTCAGTGAAAGTGTATGTTTTGTAAGTGAGTGTGTATGTCTGTCGCTGAGTGTGTCTGTCAGTAAATGTGTGTGTGTGTTAGCTAGTGTGTATGCGTCTGTTCGTGAGAGTGTGTGTGTGTGTCTTCAGCATTTACCTTTCTCCAGCGTCGGACTCCCCAGTGTCTGCCACTCAGCTCCGAAATGCACATGCGTGGCAAGAGGCGCGCGCGCATTTAAACCGCCCATAGGAAAGCATTACTCAATGCTTTCCTATGGACGTTCAGTGTCTTCTCATTGTGATTTTCACAGTGAGAATCGCGGAAGCTCCTCTAGCAGCTGTCAATGAGACAGCCACTAGAGGCTGGATTAACCCTCAGTGAAACATGTTTTCAGCTGCAGGGTTAAAACTAGAGGGACCTGGCACCCAGACCACTTCATTGAGCTGATGTGATCTGGGTGTCTGTAGCGGTCCTTTAAGTGTGTGTGCATACCGCGGTCGCGGGGTCGCAGCCCTGCAACCCCTGTGACCAGGTGCCTGCCACCATGTGTTGCGACCCCGACCCGCGCCGAGTAAGCGGGGGGGGGGCCACGGATCAATTTTTGCACCGGGGCCCCATGGGTCATGTGTACGCCACTGGCTGTCATCCCCTCAGGGAGAGAGATAGGTTAGACTCCTGATTGCTGAAGGAGGTACCCAGGCTGGCAACTCTTACACATGTGCTGTTTGCTGGGTCTTCAGGAATAAAGGCTTAGACTCAACTGGGCCTCTTGTATACAGTGGACTACTGTCATCACTTCCGAGAGAGATAGGACAGACCCCTGTTTGCTGAAGTAGGAACCCAGGCTGGCAACTCTTACCGATATGCTGTTTGCTGGGATAAGAGGCTGAACCCTGGCCTGGCTTCATGTAGGCAGTATATCACATACATCCCCTGAGGGGGTACCCAAGCTGGTTGAACCCTGGCATGCAGTGGACCATTTTCATCCCTTTCAGGGAGAGGTTGGGTCCGACCCCCGGTCACTAAAGGGGGTACCCAGGCTAGCCACTTCATCTTAGTGCGTTTTGCTGGGTCTTGAGGGCTTAGAGGCTGAACCCCGGCAGGGCCTTTAAAATATTGCCTGGTGAGCATAAAAGAAAAAAATCTAGGCCTGCATAAGCAGACTCCTTCCAAACTGCTGTGAAGGACAGGAAAAAAGACAGCCTGATGGGAAAGTACCTCCCTGGAAACATAAGGAAGGGAGGACATGACTGCTGGCAGGGATAAGGGGATGGTACCTAAGGGGATACAATGTGGAACCCTGGCATTAAGAAGGGGAGAAAGGGGAGGGTACTCACAAGTTACCGGGCAGAAGTGTAGTGGTGCTAGCTTCCCCTGGGACTGTAAAAAAATAAAAACAGATTATTAATTTTCCAGCTTATATTACTTACACATCTATTTTACCTACCTTTCCCTCATCTGGTATTGGGAGTCCCATAGAGCCGGAGCGTTGGAGGAGGTGATTGCCGGTGTGGACAACCGCCCGGTGCCTGCTGCAGCTTCAGAGACTTCAGTGATTTTGCCGGATGGCGGTAGGAGGGCCAGGCGTTCCAGACCCCCTACGCGCTTGTCACTCAGTCCGGTGTCCAGACGGCGAGGTCGACAGCGGGGTGAGCAGATCGGCACCGCCAGGACTTCCCCGGCGAGAGGAGGAGGGAGCCGGAGGTCAGTGGATAGAGGCATCGTTGGTTAACAAGATGGCGGCGTGACGGGAAGATCGAGGAGCCCTCCGTCTCTTCCGGTCCAAACGGTGGGAAGAGAGAGGACGCCGGAAGTGATGATAAGCGTCGGCGCCCTTGAGCACGTTGAACGTCAGGGCGCCGGACGTCATCAACGGTCGCACCCGGAAGTGACGCGCACCATCGGCGCCCTGTCCGGGACACGGAGTTCCCAGGGCGCTGGACACAGAGGACGGTCGACAGGGAGGAGAGGAGACAACTGGAACTCCCAGGCATCCGGGAGCAACTCCCATAACCCAGAGGCAGCCGGTTTCGGTAATGTCAGCCTGAAGCACAGCTCAGGTCCTGCTGCAAATGTCCACAGGAGGTCTTGGTCTGATTCTGCTTCAGAAGAAGAGGAGGTTTCGTTGCCAGCAGTTCCCCAGTGGTCCGGTGAGTTTTTACTTTGCGCTGGTCAGGGGACTGGTGCCCAAGAACAGCCCAGGGAGTGGTTGCGCCTGCTTAGGACCCTAGTTGACAGCTTACTGGGCAAAGGGTAGCCACAGGGCAGGATAATAGACTTCCAGTGCAGGCGGAGGTACAGGGGTCAGCCTGCCGCAGGGGCTTTTCGCGCGGGTTCGGTGGGATGCGATCTTGAACCGTTAGGTTTACATGTCCCTATGGACATGCAAGAGAAAATATGGAGAGGTGAGTACATGGATCTGCTGTCTTTGGTCTCTCCTGACAAGGATTCTGTGGACAGACCGCGTTGGGGTGAAGTTTCCGAGGCAGACAAAGGTAAGCAGATACCCAGAAGCAATTGGTTGCAAGGGTTTAATATCTTTTCAAGCATCCTAGTTCGCCGTTTCCCAGATAAGGCTCCTTCTCTGTTTGGGCACTTAGACCTAATTTGGGGGGCCTATAAAATATACGAGG